GTCTGACCTCACGAACTACCACAGTTGTCCCCGACTGTTGGGGCTTCTGTCCGATGCGATGCGAGGCTTGACCTCAAGGCACGCCCTTAGAGGGAAAACAACGATAGACTGTTGGGGCTTCCGGGTTCGTGAAAAACGCCTCACACCCTGGGCCTGACTAACTGAGTGAGACCGCGTCAACCGCGTTGACACGCCGAACTGGTCGTCTGAGAGCTCTTCCAGCTCCAAGGCCTGGAAGCGACCCTTCTTGAGCGCCCCAATGGCACAGCGCTACAACGCAGTGGCTGATCCATGGCCGATCAGAGCGGGTTGTGCCCAACCGGCACGTGCGTGAAAACGCACGTGGCACGCGAGTCACGGGAGAACATGTAAGGTGAGGAATGCGGTGGGTCTCCATGTGGTAGACCAAAGGCTCTTGTTCGCAAGAACTTAGATATGTATGGGGATTGGTTCGTGAAGAGTCTCCGTGGGAGGTACCGGGTGCTTGTACAACATCATGCAAGAAAAGGGGGTTCCTGTGCTTGACGGGCTGATGGGGATAGGGTGAAAGCTCGGGTCGACTGATGGACGATGCAGGGTTTGGACAAGCTCAGAAATGATGGACAAGCTCAGAAATGGACATGGAGAGAATTGAAGCAACAGGGTATCGGTCAGGTCAGTCAATCTTCACAAAGATACTAATTAGCTTGGTGCCACGGGTGGATCAGCTAGCAGGTCCAGTATTGGTTGAACTGGCGGGAGGGTTGATTCAATTTTGCTTCGCCTGCATCGACCATGCGAGCTTGTCACCCTCGTCCTGGAGTTTGGTGGCCTCTACGTCTCCAAGTAGCCATGGGGCAGAAACCTGGTTTTCCCTTCCCCAAACGAATCTAGGAACCCTCAGGTGGATTGGGGCGGGGAGAATCCAAAAGAACCTCATGCCAACCAATTCTGCACTCAGGAGCCATTGCTTCGCGAAAGAGGTATTGAAATCCTCGATACCTTTTCGAAAAGCTCCTGGGCTCAATTTACGAGGACGATGTGTTCTTTTTACATGTGCATTTTACATGTTTTTCCCGTTTTCGAAGCGTCTTTGAGCGCGTTCAGAGTTGGGGCGCTCTGCTGGCGAGATGGTTTTTTCGGGACTTTGTCACCCCCAACTCCGCTTTGATTAATTACTGATATTTCAACCCACCATCTCCAGAATGGTGTTACATGTCCAGGCTTGGTGGAATAGTCAACATTCCAAAGCTCCACAGATGTTCCAAAGCTCCACAGTTGACATTCCGCATCATTCCGCCAAACATCTCTGCCAACGGGTGATCACACCGTCTCTGCCAAACGTGTTTCGGTCCACCGTCTCACCGTTTGGTACACCGCGCCTCTTAGGTGCCAAGCATCCGGAGGAGACCGAGGAGAGCCGAAAGCCCCGCGTTCTACCGCACATGCTTTCTAACATGGTGTGAACATGTGTGAACAATGGTGTTAGTGATTCTTGAGTACGGGCCGTTCTACAACACATGCTTGTAAAAGGGGCCTGGCCCGTTAAACACAGTGTCGTTTTTCATGTAAGCAATGGTGTTTGTGTTTTGGAATTCTTTGTAGCATGCTTCATTTTGCTCCGTATACCTTTTGACGGGTTCTGTTTCTTTTTCTTCCGCCAAGTGGTGGAAGTTCAATTGAGAACGACCAGCCATACCCCAAAAGGGCACATGTCTTCTTTTCACATAGACAACCAACCTGCTCAGACGTTTCTTAGTTGAATCATGGGTCCGAGTCCTATCTCAAACTTGTTGACCCCAAATCTCCTGATCGTATCAGAATGTGTATAGATGAAACAAATTTGCTGTGGCCCTGTGTGAGCTGCATATATGGCATACGTGCTTATTTTCCTTAATTTTCCTTAATTTAGATCATACTTTCGCGATACTTTGTTTATGTGATGCCATACTTGATGTGGTATTGTTAAACCTTGCAGCTATGAATATAGACGAATGTAGCAATGGCAAACTGCCTTTTTTACCGGCACACGCTTCACAGTCGACCCGTTCGCACCAAGTCACGCCACCAAGTCACGCAAAACCGCCCTCATCGGTCACGACCAGTGTTGGCCCCATCGCTGTGTGCGTCGCACTCGTCGAGCAGTTCGATCCACTTCTCGAGGACGGAGTGCACTTCCCCAAGATCTCCAAACAGATTGCACAAGATCTCCTGAGAGCCCTGTGCCAGTCGTAGTAGCGCTGATACACGCGGGTGATCATACTGGTGCCAAGAAAACAAACATGTTCCCTGGAAAGGATCCTTGTTTGAGACCCCTGCCCGTAATAAAACCTTCATTTGTGTACATCAAATATTGGGAACCATGCAGCAGACTTTTTCTCCCGCCAGGTCTCTTAATAGAGGCCTGATCCATGAAGCATCTTCAAATTCAGAGGGAACGTTTCACATGTCGAGCCATGCTGGAGCGCAAGCGCGAGGATTCAAAGAGAGGCGCTTAGCACTGTGCAGATGGTTCATGTCAAACCGCAAACTGTACAGACGCGGAGAGCTTGACAGGGTCCTCTCAATGTTTGGATGCGGATAACTTAGACCCAGTGGGCATTTGCTTCGCTGTCCATCCATTAAACAAAGCTGGGCTAGTGGTTTGGGGTAGTGCTTGAGCTGCGGTCAGTTGTGGTTTTTCACCTTAAAACAGGTGTGGAAGACGAAGATTCACGTGAATAGTTTGGATAGTCTGGTATACCTAAGGGATTACACTCGAAATAATCATGGAGTGGAGGTCACCACCTGTTTGGTCAGAAAACGGTCATCCAGGTGGCCATGCCATCCAACTCCATGACTATTTCAGGGAGAGTAGGTTGAAATTGACGCTCAGATTCGCTGTTCAAAAGCCCCTGAAAATGATAGTACCTACGAACTCTGGACCAGTTTTTGTATAATCATATGTGTTCCAACAGGAAATGATGAGCACATCCTCACAAGTACCGCCCTCCTATTCACTAGAAAACAGAAATCAACTATCGCTCTGCCTGAGGTGCTTTTGGTCCAGCGTTTAATCAGGGAGTTTGGCATCCCGAGTTCTATGTGAAATATGTGAAAACCAGGTGCCCCGCGAAAGGAGTCAATAATCCCTCGTTTTCACCATGCTTCACCCATTTCAGGAGAATCTCAAGAAGATGCTACACCCTCGTCCCTGCATCCATTGAACACTGCTTTCGACTGATTGAACATCCGCAAAAAATGTGGTCCCCGAACCTCGCGTGGTTCCGGACGTTCCTCGCGCTAAACGTGGCACACAGCGGCCCGAGGGTTCATGATCTTCTACAACATCTTCCGCGGTTGGTGGGTCATTCAGACGGATCTCGACACTCAGGAGCTGCTTGATTCTCCTGTCCGCTGGAGGAGGAGGATCAAAGTGTTGTAGACTTTTTTTGTGTGGAGTTTGCGGTGGTAGTAGTACCATGAGATATATGTACATATATATTTATATAACTAATTATAATTACATATATAGCAGTCATCAGCAATTAACATTACTAGCACCTGGACTGTGTAGTGAATGAATTCTTCTCACGCAAGAAAATACATCATCCACTAATTTGAGTGGACAACTCATAACTCTTTTCATTTTTGACTCTTCTTTGCTGGCTGCGAAGTGGAGCTCCGTGGAACAAAGGAGAACTTGCCGGACCATGGGTGATTTTGGAACACCTAGGGTGACCCAAATGATCACCAAACAAGTTCTGAAGAGCAGTCTTACTTGTAAGCATGTGTGTGTGCGTGTCGAAGACTTTATGGCACTTTGTACACTCTGTATGTCCTATGCCTATGCTGGTGAGATGAGCCGGTACCCGGTGAAGTCTCACAAGTGCTTTCATGCTGTGCTCTACCCTAAGAGATGCGTGGACTGCTGTCGCCGGTGCTTGGCCACGGTCTCACCTGCTGCGCGGAGGAACCGCCATATGCTTGGGCGGACGGGCGTGCCTACACCACACCAAACCAGCTTCCAGAGGACGCGTGGCAGGTGCCCAAGGGTGCCCATGTCAGTCATTTCCCATGTGGAGATTCCCTCGTGTCCCGCATGTTTCTTTTTTCCTCAAATGTCCTCAACAGTCTTTGACCTAAAACTCCATTTGCTTTCTCGTCAGGAAGTTGAATGTGGAATATGAAAATGAAAACCTTCAGTCTAGATCGAGTCTAAACGCATTTGAGGAAGATTTGGGAAGCAACACATCAAACACAAAAAGACAAGAACAAAAGAAACCAAACTGCCTTTGCCGTTCTATACTTTTTCCTATTTGAGAAGCCATGACAACCTCTAGACTCTAGACCAGCACTCTACCGGATCATCGATGCCAGATCTGGATCATCGATGATGTCACCGTCATTGGCGCGGGTTTCTGGTATTCCCATCCTACCTTGCAGAGCCTGGCATGATTCGTTCTTTTTTTGTTCAGCTTTGAGGATGTTTTGATTGTCTTTTATGCGGCAGGTGTTGTTTTGCAGATGTGTTGGACGAACATGCTCCTCTCCATGTTTTTTGAGTATCTTCCATCACTTCAAAAAACTAGGAGGGACGCATATGTGTGTCTTTTCGAGATTTGTGGGATGCACATGTGGGACACTTCGTCAAAATGCCTTCGAGTTCGAGCTTTTACAGCTTCCACCTGTATGAGTGTGGGGTAGATTCGGCAAATAGTCTGAAATGTGCCTAGTCTGTAGGGTTTGGAGGCTTGCTGAGACTTGGAAGAGGTCTGGAGCAGCAGTCTAACTGTGACATGATTATGGTGCAGTAACAAGAGTTGGAACTTGTTGGTTGACAATGCAGGATGGCTCTCTGAACTTGAAGATGAAGAGGCATCCTGACAGTGACACGACGTTCGTACGCTTCGTGGAGGCCGAGGCGCCTCACATCCGTGCCGTGCCAGGCGGGCGGCAGCCACCGTCGATGCAGGCTTCGCCTTCAGCCGGGGAGCCCGGCAGAGCCTGCAGAGCAGTCTGATGTGTTTCGGGAAGCCAAGAAGTCTTACACAGAGTCTTCCCACTGGATTCCAGGCTTCAAGAAGAGATGTTACTGACTGTATACATCTACTGTGGAGCTCAGGAAAGGTTTGATTACCTCTCCAACTTGCTTAGACTCTTTGAAGAACTGATCTACTCACTCCTCTACTGGGTCCATCGGACACCTCAGCCAAGGCATGAACCCCAGCACGGTGATGACGCGGATCGCTGTAGATGTCGGGCCTTCCCAGGGGTGTGGGGTGGAGAACCGATGAGAATTTCCCGGGATGTTTGCCAACGGGAGGTTTTGAAGGAGTCTGATCCGGGTATCATCGATTTTTGTATCTTTTTTAAATCCAGGTTCATGGAGTAGCTAGGAACTAGATTGAGTTGGGTTACTCATTGGTTCTATTGGCCCAGAAGTAGTCATGACTTGAAGAGGCGACTATGTAGGGGTGGGTGACGTCCTTCAGGTAGCTGTGGCATCAAAATAGTCCACTACCCCTCACAACTGCCTCTGGGGGGGGTTGCCATCACTCGGGCACCCACGCGGTTCTTATTTTTGAACAGCCATTCGAATACACTGATTCCAGCGGAACACTACACAAGCGATAGCCACACTGACCATTCATGGTAGACTTGTCTTTTTTTTGTGACTTTGCATTCAATCAAGAGGCGGATGCAAAGACCCTTACGCTATATTGGACATTAGATTCATCCTGAATCCTGAAGGATTTCAAGTTATAGCAAATTCCTGGTCAGGATCGTGCTGAGGAATGGAATTTCCGGCTGCCCGGGGGGCCCTGTCAACTGGTTCGAGTATGTTCGTTCGTAGGCTTCAGCCTGTTAAGGTCTTTGATAAGGCTCTATTACACAGGCTGGAGACCAGTCTTCGAGGGCTTAAACAGCTCTAGGATGTATAGTTTCCACGAAGTTTCCTTGTGATTCCTGGGGGCCTGAGCTGTCTATGAAGTCATTGAGTCCACCTAGTTGGGCTGTAGCTAAAAACAACGGGGGTTGTTTCTATGCTCAAATCAGCATATTTGCAAATCCATGAAGTCGTTGCATTGCCTCTAGCCGTTGTGACGCACGCCCACGTTCGGGTTGCCGCACGGTTCGCCGCACGATGCCAGGATGCGCTTGGGCTGCCTTACTTGTCCAGTGTGACCTTCGATGTGGGACTCGCAGTGATCCAGCTCAGTGGGATTCGTCGAGACATGAGACGTGAGTGTTCCGGTCATGTAATTAGCCTCCGACTGGTCGCCAGTCTATGTGGGTCATAGATACGAAGTGAGGGCCACCACTGACATAGGATTTGGGAAAACCCACCTGGCAACTACGTATGTCATTGGACCTAACAAGTCCTAAGAGTAGTCCTAAGTCATTGGTCCCCAGCATACACTAACATTATGGTGTCCCTTTTGGGGGCAGGTTAAACCTGATTCGTCGCTCTGGAAAGTGGTCAACATTGGCTACCCTCCAAAACGATGGTTTGTGGACGTGTCAGGTACTTGTAACCCTGTTTTGAACAACAGGTTATTTCGAACAACGGTGGTGCTTGATATTGTTATTTGGCAAACGACAATTGGGCCATGCCCAAGCGACAACCGAAGATGGAAGCAATTCAAACAGATGTTCTCCAGTGCCAACCGACGGAATCACTGGGAACCCCATGTCGACATGGAGAGGCGGGTTGAAAGCCGTGTTTTGGGGGAAGAGGTGCTCCTTGGCTCTGGTGCGGCTTGCCCTCACTTTCGCAGAAGCACCTGACACAGCCTGCCGGTACAGCCGCTGATAGGTGAAAGTTCTTGGTCTCTCTAAATTATGTTGACTTACTGTTTTCAGGGTTTTTCCATTTTCTCTGGTGTGAACCACCAACATTCCGAGGGATCTGGGTCTGTATGGGCAAAGCATCTCTCCTTTTCGGGCCAAACACCACCCATGTGTATGGATGTACTCCAAGTGCATAGCAAATGTCCACCTTATTTACAGTGGATTCCACGTTGCATGAGAACTTTGTTCTACTTTCTTTAGACGTAGCACGAAGAGTTGCGAACCCATACGAACTCCCCGAACAAGAGGTAGTGCACATTATGACTTGCTCTATAGAAGTTCATTGGAAGGAGCATGGGAGCGACGTCTAAGCATGTCTAAACCATTCGATTCTAAAGCCATTTGGGGAGCCCCTTTGAGGGTAGTCTTTGCCTGTCTTCTTGTCCACAGCGCGCATGTCGTCAGTCCACGGCTGGGACCTACAAGCTCTGTTGGTGTCCATCTTGGGACCGGTGTGCGACGGGACGTGTGCTGCGTTGGGACCATCGTGCTTTGAAACGAAGACGCGAACGGAGTAGCATTCTGGAGGAGTAACGGACTCCGAAGGTCTGCGGCATGGAATTGCTGTTCTTTTTATTGTTCGTTTTAAGATGTTTTAAGGGTTCTGTTAGAAGCTTTGGTTTGCATCGATCGTGTTTTGATCGTATGTCGATGTGTTTCACAATGAGGGGATGTGCAAGACACTGGTGACATGAAACGTGTTCACTCCTTTTCTCAGGACAAAGAGACAAGGGCTTCACGGGGCCTTCATTCGAGACACAGCCATGTAGACAAGATGGCTGGCGGGTTGAAGAATGCCACCATTGCACATGTTCCATAAAGTTTGCAGAATTGTGGATGGCAACTGTCATGGGATGTTGAACATCGATCAAGAAAAGGGTATGCTCAACCTTCCACCGCTTGGCAAATTCTGCAGGACTGGCCTGAGTCCAGCACGTTGCATGGCGGCGATGTAGACACAGTGCCCTGCTGGAGCCCCTGACCTGCTGGAAGCTGGAGCCCCTTGTGGACTGACAGTAGGGAGAGCATAGGCCTCAAAACACCCAGTTCTTATTTATTGGTTAACAAAGCAGCATGAAGACTTCGTTCGGTGTGGAAACGCAGTGACATAATGAAGGATAAGGATGTGGCAGGCCAATTTTTCAGGCAACCCCTGAGTTGCAAATCATGCTCAAGTTTGCCGGTGCACAGGCCAGGTTGAGATAGATTTGTTCACCCCGTCGAGGCATCTAGGTCAATCTAGATTGCCAATAGAGATAGACTATAATACCTATATAGATATGATTGATTTAGGATAGATATTTACACTAATTTCATCTGATCTTCCATGAGATTTAACACTCCCTGAACTGATCATGGTTTCGTGGAGTTCAGAACCTGCTTGGTCGTTGGATTTCAGATGAGAAAGAACCTGAAGGAAGCTGTGCCTAAAGCGCCATGTTCCCGAATGGGGGACCCCCCCGTTGTGGCGGGGGGTCTGATGGTTTGGTGAGTTGCTTTTGGGCCATCGAGGCTCCAGTGAGCAGGAGTTCTTTGTGAACAACGGCAACTTGGTGGTTGGTTTCCTGACGGCGCAGGCGGGGCGATGTTTTGCCTCGATAGTGGTGCAGGTGCCCAAATCGATGGTGGTCGCTGGAATGGTTTAACCGCCTGAAGATCCAATGTGAACCCCACAACCACTGGGTTGGTCTTCAGACAATGGTCTCTACCAATGTTTTTCACCACGTTTTGTTTCTCTTCTCAGCATCCCATCCGATCGTTTGGACGTTGGGCTGGGTGGACGTTGGGCTAACGCACAGGCACCGGTTGATCCGTCCGGCACCGGTGGATCCGACCTCGGTCCGACTTCGGTGCACCTCGGGGGGATTGACCGTACTTTTTTCAGATGAAATGCATCGAAAGCAACCGACAGGTGTATTTGAATAGATGAGACATGATGAGACATCTTTTTTTGACAGAAAAAGAACCACTAGACCCGGCCAGGGGAGGTATACCTGATAGTATACCTGATGCATCCAGATACCCACGGCTTCGGCTGCTGGAATTTTGGAAGCGCCCCCCCGTGTCGGCTTCGGGTTGACAGGACCGGTACCACTGCATGTTGGGTGCCAACTGCTTGCTGGGCGTGGCATTGCCGGTCGGGCCTTCGGATTCAGAGAACGTTATTTTCGAGGAAAAGAGCTGGGAAGTAGGAAGTTGATTTCGAAGGTATGGGGTGAGTGTTCAACCATCCACAAACAAGAACGGGTGAACAAGCAATCAAATTTGCGAGGTAAGTATAATTCTATTGGAGTGACAGATTTCCTGCATCCGTTCCCAAAAGCTTCACCTTATCCGTGCTTGGGAAGTGTGCAGTTGGTCCGAACCCCACACGTTTACACCTCCACGCGTTTGGGGGCCTTTTCCCATGAAGGCCAAAGACGATTTTGGATGAGATACGGATGAAGAACCTGGTTTTGCTGAAAGTGATGTTTGATTTTCCCGGTCAGGTTCATCCCACTCTGAAGAAGATGAACCATATGAGCAAAAGGGGCGACAAGAACGGTTGTCCAACTGTTTCTAAAAAGTGGAATGTGGTGAGAAAATCCAATGCAAAATCCGATGAAGTGTTTTGTTGATTTTCGGCAATGTGGATTAACTGCAACATGCAGATGTTCTCACCTCATTCTGCTTTGGGCTTTGGACGCTGTTTTTGGGAATGCTTTGTCAGCTCAGTGATCCAAATGCATTCAAAGGGCTCAAGTTGGCTCAAGATCAATATTCAATATGGGCTCAAGCATACAACAAAGGCACATTCAACCTGGTTGGTCCCTCTTCGGTGGTGATTCTTGGATTTCAAACTCAAAGCTGACTCGACAACCAAGGCCTCCTTGCCAAACCAGCGTGCGGTACTGCTGCCGGGCAACATTCGCTGCGCAGAGGCACGGGCCACATTCGGTTGATCGGCATTCGCTGGGTATAGGGAGTCGGCTGCAAATAATATATATATATTATGTACACAGTCACATATTTATATCACAAGGATCATGAATCATGATACTCAACTTTGGCGGCTTGGAATTGCGAACCATTTTTCATCATTTTGCCCACCCTGCAATCCATCCTGCATGTCCGATTTCCTAGGCTACAACGGTTTTGTGGAGAATGAGTTGCCAAAACATTGGGCCTGATGAAGGTCATGAGATCTCCAGCTAGAGCAACACGTGGACGTGCAACATGTACTTTGCACGCAGCACCTTCCATCCCCCATTCCTTTCACCAATGCCAATACACCCCCCATTCCTTTCCACCCCCCATTCCTTCCATCCCCCATTCCTTTCACCCATATACTTCTTCAACGGCTTCTTTCGGTTCCTCGCCTCCGCGCGCTCGCCGTCATGGCGAACTCGCTCGTCGCTTCGAGGCACAGAACAGCATGGCTTCGCCCTGGAGCGACGCGCGGAACGTCTCAGGCCGTGGAGCGACCCACCGACGCGGTCGCTCGCGACGAGTGGAGCTGATGTGTTAAAACACAGGGCGACGAGTGGAGCCTGGGGACTAGTGACTAAGTGTTTTAGACGTGTGGTGGTTTAAGAATTAACGTATAATTTATTAACTTGAATCGCTTGAATGCTTGAAGTAATTTGAACTATCTTGATAGTTCTGGATTTCTGGATGTGTTGTTTTTTTTGCCCGATTGCACTGCTGGAGTAGGTTGGCTTCTCGCTGAAACCTTGCTCTGTATACTGACACCTTACAAAGAAAACTCAAGGTGGGGGGTTCTTTCTCACAGATGATGATCCAACAAGAATGGACCAATTCAAACAGACTTGTGGAATGGAATGGTCGTTGGCACACTGGCCTTGTTTTGTACGGACGTATGTCCCTAGACTGGACCAGACTGGACATTGTATGTTCATGTCACCTTCCACAGATTTATGTGGGCCTCCAGTTTGACCTACAGGATGACCGTCCCACATGTGTTTTTCCTTGTCTCGCTTCATGGCAGGCCCCACCGCCCAAACATATGTTTCTCGTTTCGCTTCAGGAAGCAAACCGTTGGCCAGTACCAACTGGACGGTCTTCGACTTTGGGAGCGCCACTGTGGTGGGAGAGTTCCAGATTTGTCGGGGCATCTCAATGGAGATTCGCTGGGTGAAGATGGGCGAAAAAGCACCGAAAAGGGCGCACAAAGATGTTCCAGCCAAGTAGCGGGGTTAGGATCAAATCATCATTGCCTTTCGAGTGAGCGACTATACAGAGTGTCCTGCTTGTGCATGTGTATATATTCTTTGAGTTTAAGAGAAGACAATGAGGTTGAAGAAAGGAGCCACTGGATGGATCGATTTTGGATGAAGAAAGGTTCAATCCCAGTCGAAACATCCGGTGACCCCAGAGCCAAAGATGTTGCAAAGCCCTCAGCCTTTATGAGGGTTCCAAAAAGTTCTCGTTCGGCATGACACTTGTGCTCAAACTGAACTACTCTTTCTATTGAGGTAGTATGTTCATCCTTTTTGGCATTCAAAGCAGCTTGTTGGGAAACAAGCGCTCGTGAGAGAATTTGAGATGTCATCCATCGTGAGATGTCTCTGACCTCGGTGGTGAGATGTAGCCAGTTTGGTCTCAACCACCCCATCCAAGGTGTGAGGTATTATGCCTGAATAACGATTAAACCAATTCTAAACATTGCTCTGAAAGCCACAGACCGTGCTGCCACACTGCCAGAGCCTGGCCTGGCGCCCGCAAAGGATCGACGACAACAATCAACAACATGCGGTTGGAGCGTCATATTGAATGAACATGATTCATTTTGACGCTACATTCACAGCCTTAGAGCATTTGGTCAAGAGAAAGGCTCTACAAGCTACATGTATCCTGCTCTTCCCGTGTCCCAGACCCTGAGGCTCCACCTTTCCAGCCCTATCCTTAGGTCCAGTATTAGGACCTGCAGTCCAGTCGTGAATTCCCACCTTTTATTTGTGTAAGTATCATATTGAGGAAGTTGAATCAGCTGCCCTAGAGACACACTCAGTCTCCTATCTCGCAAGAGCGAACTGAGGCATTTGCACCAACTATGACAATGGCCGGAAGTCTTGGAAATCGGGTTCTAGGTTTAGGTTTGGTGATGTCAACAAAACATATATATATATAATATATATAAATATACATGTAGTTTTAATATATGGCCCAGATATGGCCTATGACTCTGTGATAAAAGTACGAAGAGTTCCTACACCACTTGATGAGAGATCGTGGATTATTCCGCGATTCAAAGAGTGACATATGCATGCATGATTAGGTGGGGGGGTGCGCCGCAAAAATACAGGATTGTGATGTTCCTGCGACCCACCAAAGAGAGATTTACTGTACTACCTTGAAATCCAACCCTGCAAAGGCAGCAATGGTCCGCAAGCCTGTGCACCTCAAATGGCTCCAAGCCTGTGAGGGTCGGTTTTTCTTCTCTTTTTATTCTCATGCCACGAAAAGGAGGTGCTTCTTGGGCGCCAAACTCACCTCAAACCGGAGGGTCCCGAAACCCCTTCTGCCATCCCTTTCCGGCCACTCCGGATGACCGGAGTGGCGGGATCGGATGAGTCCGAGGTCAAGATGGCTTGGCTTGCAGCCAAATCGAGGAGTTGGAGACTCGAAACGCAAAAGGCAGAAGACTCTAACAAAACCCACCATAAAACACCAATACTCGTTGTTGTTGAGCTCCATATTATTAGCACAACAAATACAATACTTATTATTTTAATAATCGTTGTGCTCCATCTAAGCATTCTGGAGATAATGAGGCTTGCTCGAGCTGGATAGTGGGTGTGTCATCTGCCCACTTTCCTTCACAAGTACTTCTGTCTTTGGATAAATTTGTCAGTACATAGTACACGATCAATCTTTTCATGTCATCTACCGCAGGTGGAACAGAGGCAGGTTGAACAATGTTGAACAGTTGAACATCCCCAAACATGACTTTTTTTGGAAGTGCTGTGGTCTAGCAATTAGGACAACTATGTTTGACTGATGACCTTAGCTCTGTTTGCTGGCTATGGCTTGCTCTAGTGCTTAGGAATGTGCAGATTATATAATGATATACTATGGTGTACCTCAGTGTATATTATATGTGTATATTATATACGGTATATTATATTAGTTGCTTTTTGTTGTTGTTTCATGCCAATCTGTGAAGGGTAGTGTTTGGGGTGTAGGGCTGGTTTAGCCTATTTTGAATGAACATACGATTACAGTAAATGAAGTGACATGACATGATCATATATCTAACTATCATTTGAGTGCTGGATAGTGGTGGAACATGCAATCAAAGATCAAACCAATAGCTGTATGCTTTGTGGATTGGTCGGAAATGGACTCGCCCAGCGAATCGTTCCCACATCAATCTCTTGTAATGTTGGATTTTGATCAATGACATTTTTTTCTGTTGCAGGATGATTGAAAGCAATTTGAATTCAATCTCTTGATTAAAGATCTATCCAGGTTCAATACCGTATCAAGCCTGATATAGATACGACCTTACTATGTGCCACTCCTGTACTTGCCCAACACTTGCAGCGCATTGGCTCAAGGGATCAAGCAGTGAACCGTAGGCTGAACTCTTTCACCCGTGCGTGCTTCGGTCCCAACCGATGCCCGGCTCGCGGTTGTTCCATGCCTTGAGCTTGGAATTGCCACGAGAGGAGCGGTTTTTCGTGCACTCGGTCGGATCCGTTCGGTGGTTTCGGTGGTTCGTCACTAGTTGTCTGGATGGCGGGAAGAGAACTCCACACAGAAATCAAAAAACAAAGAAAATTCACTATCGAGATTGGTTGCATTGTCAAGAATCGAGGAACAATACATTGTGAAATGTCAGGGACGTTTGTTTTTGCATGCTTTGCCCAGGCCGCCACATGGACCTTCTATAGTTTCTTTCACTGCCAGTGCCCGACGCGCGGGTCTCGCAAAGATTTTGCCAGGAGCTTCTCGAGCGCTTCGGTCACCTTTTGGTCGGCCTACATGTTCTTCCGCAGGCTCCGCAGCCTGCAGCGCTGCACCCGGCGGTGCAGCCCACGGCGCAGCCAATGGCAGTGCAGCCAATGGCAGCGCAGCCAACGGCGCAGCCAACGGCGGTGCAGCCAACGGCGTCCACGGCCGGGCGGCAAGGTGGTAGAGCTGCTGATGCAGATTCAATGACTTCAGATGAAACACGTTCAGAGAAGTTTGACTCCTGAGAAAACATTGTGGATGTGAGGAGAGGACGAAATTAAGACAATGCGTTGGTGGATCACGTGGCACAGGAGAAAGCACGAAATAGGGTAATACACAAAAACAATGTAGTTAGATTTGAATGTAATTAATTATCGATCATTACGGATTTGTTTGTTTAAGACGGAGGTTAGCGAGATTGCACAAGTTTTGACCACGACCAATTGCCACGTGTGCCCACTTGTAAATACGCGGTCTTCAACTTACAGTTTGAAAGAGGCAAGTTGTTCGGTGGATGGTGCGACAGATGCGTACATCCTAGCCTCAGGACTGGGCGGAGTCAGCATGTTGAGATTTTCAACGAACCCTGGACACCCTCCGAACCATCTCCCCCCAACATGTGTTTCATTGTGTTTCTGTGACTCCATCCAAGGAACTGGGCTCCGGACCGACGTTTAGGGCTCCACTAGGCACTTTCCCTTCTTTTTGACATGGCTCTAATGGCGTTAAAAGGAAAAGGAGCCAGCGCAACTGCGGGAGTAGGAGCAGGGGTGCTCGTGCGTAACCACGCATGTCACCTCACGCTCTTACCCTATAGATCTGTCCACGGGATCGTCATGTAACGACCCTGTTTTTGTTGGCTACTAGAGTAAGCTCGGCACCCACCTGCAGGTCATATCTCACGCCTTTAAGGCCGTTCATCGGGAGAAGAGATCCAGAAGGAGAATCAGTCGAACGTCCCTGTAGAGAATTAGTTGTTCCTGTTGAGTTCCCGAGTTTCCCTAAGCCCTAAGCCCATCCACCAATTCGTGCAGTGAGGTTTTATGAAGCTGCAGGGCCTTTGATCGTAGCAGATGAGGCTCTGGGGAGATGTGCCCAACACTGCACTATTTGACCACCAGCTCCAGCTGATTGATGAAGAACACCAGGCCTAATGCCAAACAAGAGTAACAAGAGAGATGTTATCATGAAAGAACTACTGACGCATGGCATTCGTTTCCATTTTCTCCGCAGGATCTGCGCAATGTCATACCACAGTTGTCCTTTGCCCACGGTGTCATGCATGGAGAGTGAGCGCTCTCTCTTCGGTTTGTTGGTACCCCCATAGTAGGGTCCTATCATCGGAAGTAGCAATTGTCGATTGGTTGCAGCGGTATGATATCGATATATCGATTATTTTAAAAATGCTTTCTGGGGATGGTGATAGATTCTGACAAATCACAATTGCCCTTTCTGAACACAAGGTAATCATGCAAATCATCCAGAGACATTGAACATGTTGGAACAAACAGCTTGAGAAAAGTCCTTGAGAATCGTTGACCCAAGCGTTTCCAAGCCATCGACCCTCGCCGGTCCAGCGAAGAAATGCGCAGGTCTTTTTAGCCTTCGAAGCAGGGCTGACTCCAGTGGCCGGGCTGCCCAGAGACAGTGCCAAAGGCACACGAGGGTATAACAGATGATGAGACTCCCAAAGCCATATAATCCAGGAGAATCTATGAACATTATGAACATCGCATGAGAATCGCAAGAGATCCTTGGCTTTCTGCGCGATGCGATTTTTCACGGAACTGTGCCGATAGTCTTCAGGATTTGAACGTGAGCCGTGGCTATGGTGCGGTGGCCGAGCTTCGATCGAAAGCGCGGTGGACGTGGCGGCCAAACCATGCCAAACCGCACTTCTTCGTAGAGTAGTAATTTGAGGAATGTAGAAGATCCTAGGCTGCCCAGGATAATCACATGAACTTGGTGAAGGTACAGTCGCTTGAGATCTTTTTTCATGGCCTACTGAGGAGCCCACAAAATCTATGGACATCCTTGAAAAGCAAATGGAAAGTGGCGACTCACTTGCTTTGAATCTCCTTTTGAAGTTCTTTGGGTGGGGAGCCAGGTACAAAGTACTATAGTCAGTTTCAAATCGTGTGGGCTGATTGAGGAAAGGTGAACGCGAAACCAATGGGGCGCATCATGGCATATCTCAAAAGGAGGACACCTTAGTCAGACTTTTCGAGACAGGACACGCGTAAGACAGAGCGTGGCTGTGAGATGGATGTGGTTGAAAGGACCCAGGGACCTACGGGGAACTACAAGTTCTATGTGTTCGTTGTTCTTTTTCGCTCCAGTGTTTGGTTCGCTGCGTTCTGTTTGGGTTCTCTACATGGTTTCGTCCGCTGCTTCGGACCCCGCGCCTTCGGTGGAAACCCGAAGCTCACGTGAACGATGGATGCGGCCCATGGCCTGGCCGGGAACGGGGGAAGTTGATGTCCTGGGCCACCTGGTGGCATTGCCATGATGAGTGGCCGCCTGGTGACCTGGGTGTAGAGGTACTGTAGCTTTTTTAAGACTCAACGAGGTCCTAGCAGGGAGACCAAGCCCAAGTCAGGTAGAACACGACCACAGGAGATGTCATTCCGGGGAAGTTCTTGAACTCTGGCCCGCTTGCTGCAGGATCAGTAAGTTGCCTTGAATGTTTTGTTTGGCGAGTGCCACATCAAGCTTTCCAGAGACTTCACATGTGAGATGTTTGGACGAAACCAGACAATCTCAAGACCTCTCTCCGGACATAGGCTATAGATAGGGTGTATCCCGTTGCGAACAACAGTCAGAGAAAGGCCTTTACTAACCAAGCTAATATGAATGGGGCCAGCTACAATAGACAAGGCAAAGGTTCGAAATTTTGGGCGTGGCTTTCGTGATCAACTTCAGGCCTGGACTCCTCCGACAGGCCAGTTTGCGTGGTGGCTCCACTTGGCGAATCTGCAACAGAATTAAAGTGACACGCCCTCGCATTGAAGTCACATCCTGCAACTCAGAGAAGTACAACTAGATAGTGTGTTTTTTTTGATTGGACACAAAAAAGCAGGGGGAACCGGGAGATCTCTCATGTTCTATAAACCACCTGACCTGGGTGGTGCTGGTGCCTAGATCTCTCTGTCCTTTTCAACTGACTCTGCTAGGATCGGACTTGGGGAGCGGTATCATGAACCCTTTGCAGTTGACATTAGAGACGCGGCGAAACACTGTGTCAGGAATGAGGTATATACCCCTTCGATTCATTAAGCAGTGTTCTGTGGTGCAAAGAGAGAAACAGATTGCTTTCCAAGGACTGAAAGAAGACGATGACAACGGATGACACTGAATGAATCCACGTTTACAAACTGTCCCGGGTCCCTGTTTGCTTAATCTCTCCACTGTTCCACATGTAGTAGGTTGGAGGCCATTGCTTCTAGGGTTGGAGGCCATCGGAGGCGTAGAAACAAAGACAAAAGAACAGAAACAAAGAAGAGATCATCACCCGGGCTGCGACGTGGTCCAAATGTTAAGAACGGACCGTGACTGGATCACATGTCCACCCACCGACGGGCCAAAGCCGCAAGGCTCTTCCTCCACTCGGGCTTCTTCTGCAATGCTTCCACGCTAGGCATCGGGGCGGGGTGGGGGGTGTTGCACCAAGAAGAGTGAACAAGGATGAACAAGGAATATGACAAGCATGGGCTGGAGACAAGCATGGCGTGCACGGGTTGTAATTACGACAGGTTGCATCAACATAATGTGACGATACAAACAAACCTCAACCACCAACACAAGATGTCCAGTGTTGTATGCTATTCAGTTTGTTCTTGTGGATTTAGTGCGTGTCAACACCAGCACAGACAGACACTATGTGTGCCAACATGCTTGTTTTTGCAGCAAACCATCGCAAGACTCAAATACACCCTCACAACGTGGCATGATGTGGCATAAAGGTAGGTATACCGCTTTTCATCCATCATTCGATCGGCCTTTTTGCCACATTTTCCGATCTTCTGGGACCGGCCCCGGGCCCGAGGCTCCTTCGTGATCTCTCCCAGCACGGTGGAGGCACGGCCGGGGTCGATCTCGAAGCGTTGTTCCAAGCGCGGTTGGGGGTTGGGACGCTGTGGGAGCTCAGAGAGATGGAAGTGGAGGCGAAGTGGTTGGGCCGGGCTTTGAAGCACCAGGACATCCCCCCATACTTCATTTGGGGTCAGAGTCTCCAGGATCCAACGGCCGGCGGACTATGTCAGGATAGTCCACGAAGGTCCTGTGATTTATTCAGAACCTCATGAGATGAAGCCTAGTGGTTATGAACTTACTCTACTGCTTCATGGGGGAACTCAGTATGGCCTATACCAAGAGCCCTTACTCATGTTATTGGGGAACAATCCTACAAAAACATCAATGATGCTACGAACCGAGTCAATCCATTGCCCCTCACAGACACCTGGGAGCCTTGAGCACTTTCCTAAGTCGTTGATCCAATTGAAACCTGCAAACTCCCAGTTTACTAGCTGCTCCGCTAAGATGGGAATCCTTTCAGCTGTAGAATTCTTGCTTGCTAATAATCAAGATCAAGGGTTAAATGCTTCGCACATTCATTCGAAGAAAACCATGATATAGTCCATGTATAGAGGATGCGTGAATACCAAAGCACCCAACGACCCAGTAGTTTGTAGTTCCCCGGTTTCTGTTGCAAGATGCAGTCATGCAGTACCCCCACCTGTAGTGTAGACCTTCACACACAGGGCCGACCTCGGGTTGACGCACCGGGCCGCTAGGCCGCCGGTGCTTGGGCTCTTTACTCCTTGGACTCCCTGCAGCTTCCCAGCCCGGCAGCCCGTGACGTCACGGCGGCCCCTTTCAGTCCATTGCCGTGTGAAGGTCAAGGGCAACACGTCGCCGTTGAAGGTCAAGGGATCTGGGAACCGTCTGGTCGACTCTGCGAGGGGTGGAAGATGAAGACGGTGAGGTGAAAGAGGGATATTTTTGAAGAACAGCCTAGAGAGAACAGGATGTCCTTGCGACATGGTAGGTTGACCTGGTTTGATATTCTTGGTTCTGTAACTTCTTGTGTAATTGTTGATATTGTTGGAACCTTTTTGAGAGCCGTGCGCGGTAGGATTTTCATGATCAAAACAGGACTGTCCTCCACATTTCCCACGTGAACCTTATCCTTACGTAGCCTTCAGCAAAACAATGTCAATATTAGACAGCACTCAGGATTGTGTATGATTCACTGAAGTTGGCATTTGAATTGTAATTTCAGAAACCACCTAGGCGGCCTCTACGTGGCATGCCTTTGCAGCAACTTCGATGGACCAGATGCAGATCAGGCTGGGCGTTGGCGGATGGACAGGTTTCAAGGCATTCCTGGGAGGACTTAACTTTTGAAGACATGTGTGCGGTCCCCGATCAACTCTGTTTAATGTCCGAACAATACTATATAATTAGAGTCATACTAAGTCATATTCAGCTGGGTTAGATTGTATCACAGACCACATATGTTCTGATTGGTGTCTTTGAGACCTTACTTTTCTCCTTACAGTGGACGATCGATTCGATCAACTGGCTTCAAGTCACAGTCACCGGCAGTGTAGCTGTCACCACCGATCTGGTGGCAGTGAGGATTAACTTTGCAAGCCACGACATGATGTTTGGCGGACCAAATGCCAGACTTCCTCAAAGAGCACAATAGACCCAATCATATTGGTTGGGGGGGCCTTTTTTCTAATCAACATCCAAATGCTAGAGTGTCAGCCTGGATGAGGGTTGCTGGAGGTTGGAGAGCAGTATATGTTTATAGGGACAGTTACAAACTCTACCATAGGTGATTCGCACTGCTTGGCAAAACTAAGGGGGAGTGGACTGACCCATGTAATTCCATATAATTCCATGTAATTCCTTCATAGTTAGTAAGTTCGCACTTGCGAACATATGGCTAGCAAGCCAATCAAGCTATTTGCAAAACCGAGTTCAATCAAGCTATTTGCTGGTGCCATCATGTCCCATCTCTACAAATCCTTGTGTTCCTTCCTTATATTTCCCTTCTGAACCTTGGAGATTGGAGATGAATCAGATTCCGCTCCCCAGCCTAGAATGCAAACTCCCTGTGAAGAATTTAAACGCACACCTTTTCTTAGAAGACTGGCTCAAGCCCATTCTTGGTTCCCTCGTGTTTCCAGGCAGATTGCACGCCCATACCGACTGCTTGACAGCATCTAAATGAATTTAGTTGAGTCGCGATGTGCTTTGGCATGTCTTTTTGGTTGGTGCCCCTCTTTTTTCCGATCAACAGCCGTAGCAATTAAGCAATTAAGGTCTCCAGCACACGGTTGGTTGACCTTGACGCGCCTTGACTCAACATCCCACGATCAAGGGCCATTCTTCATGGCCGCCCTGACACCTCATGGCCGGACCCCTCGATGCGCACCAGGTCCGCTGCAACGATGCCGACGAGTTCACGGCCCCGGTCGGGCGGCTACAGGCGCCCCGGATTCACAGTTGCTCCTCGAGGAGTTCATGAGAGGCTTTCGGTGGAGGACATAATATAAACATATAGGATTTCATCCGTAATGTATAGGCTTTGAGTTTTATCATGACATTATGTTTGGACCTATCCAGATTGCCTCAAACACAATAAGCTATAGCTATATATAGCTTTTATATAGATTCCCCTTGTCAGACATTTGCCAAAACGCCAGGGCAAATCTAGGGTGCCGATCAAAATGAACAGATTCACGATTCCTTTCATATTGAGGGAAAAGAACTGTCAGGAATCATTTATATATCAGTCAGGGAAGTCACCTAATTTCACAAGCAAACCCTAATTTCACAAGCAACCCCTACTGTTCCCTAATGTATCAGTCAGTTTGAATCCCCTAATTTCATGGATGTCCGTTTCGAGAAGCAAATCCTGGGACTACTTCACAGCTGATGCCGCTATGTGGCCGCTGTGCGAAGGTGGCTGCTGTCGAAGGACCACAGCTGTCGTCCAGCGTGTCTGGCACCATCACATTGAGGAGCGGAAAGAGTATGGAGCGGTGATGGTTGAAGGCTTTCAGCTATCATCATTCCAAAGTTGAGAAATTTGTTTGCTTGATGGGAGAGATCAGGTCTGATTGTTTGCCTGATGCTCCTGTTGGCCACTAAACGATTTCTGTTGTGTTGCCAGTAAGCATAGCATTGTTTCATTGTTTTGTTACTTTCGGTCAACCCACGCGACCACCTTCAAGGTAAAGTAGTTACGTAAGTTTTGTCTCAATCTATGGTTGCTTTTTCGTCCTAACACTGTTGAGACTATTGTGTTTGTGTGGGGTCCCCTGCCTGGGTCCCACACAAACGACCATGAGACTGGGTCGACGAGTCGGGTCACGGGCTGGAACTGGGTCGACTCAGTGAACTGGCAGCACCAACTACGTCAAGACGGCGTGATGATGGTGGCTAAAGAGGCCTCGTGTGGAGGCCCTTCAGCATGCGCCAAAGCAACAAGATCCACGGTACTGCAGGTGACAACCTATACCTTCTTTTGCCAATGCGTTCGGAGTACCCTGCTTGTCAACCATACCCCCATTTCACAACCAAGAGAGCCGAGCACTTGTCTTTTGCTTTTCATCCTTAAAGATTCGGACAGTATACCATCATTCACCACCCAAGAAACATCTTCGGGTCAGATCTTAGCTGGGCATGTTCGGGGGACAGCCCACTGGCACGCCGCCAGGCTGAACTTGACACGTCGGCTGTCAGCGGTACACTTGGCTGCAGCCGGGGACCGCAGGATTCTTCGGGATCCGGACATGTCTCCGGTTTGGCGGATAGAGAGCAATTGACAATAAATGTTGCCAGAGTATACTGAGTATACCGACCAGATCCATACAGCACTGTCAACATGAGAAAAAAGGTTCATGGTGTTTAATCAGTCTGAAACTCACAGTTAAATGCTGAGGTGAACAGTTTGTTTGATCTTGGACCAGTGGTGTCCAGGGGGTATGGTATCTAGTTAGATCGATGTATCAGAGGATGGATGCTTCATCCAAAGCGCAGAGCGTCAATTGAAACGACTGTTTCTGTTTAGCGCAAGCTTCAACAACTCCAACTCGTTGGGGAATGAGAGGGTGCTGTACACTATAAACGTAATGTGTTGGCTGCTGGAGCCGTGTTTTGTATTTGAGAAGGCCGAAACACATCCCAAAGCCTTTCTGGAAATGTGGATCAGTAGGGGATTTTGTTCTTTACATGGTGAAATATAGTGAAGCACTGTGGAGAGAGATGCACAATCCGTATACTTTAGATTCCAACCAACTGAGTGTTTCTTTGCCACCTCTGTATTTGAGGCCTCTAGTGGCTACGCCCTGGCGACTGCCTTGGAGATTGCCCTGAGAACGCCCAGCTACCCAGAGATTGTGGGGGAATCAACATGAATCAACCACCAAAGAGGGTGTTTTGCGTCCCTTCAAAACCAAACAGAAGATCCATGTGGGTCCATGTGGCTCCAGAGGACCTTGGTCTCTTTCTTCCATCAACACGGTCGGGTTGTTGACATCGACAGTTGTAGAGAGGGTTCAGAGGCAGTATATAGTGACTTAATTTGTGCATAGTGAAAGCATCGATATCACAGGCAGTTTGTACAGCACTTGTGCGACGAAGTCTTCAAACTCCACAGGATGGCCAGACTGCTAACCCCGGCTCAGGGTTCTGGAGTCATACATTGTTCCCGTCAGCGTGGTCATCACAGGCGGATTGCGTGGCGGATGGCGCGTGGTGATTGTCGGACCACGACGCGTCAGTGAAGGATTTCTCTTGCCGAGCCTGTTGAAGGACCACACACATACACACACACTGCACCACAGGAAACCTGTAGCTGATGGATGTTAAATGATGTTGATGTTGAAGGACATTTCCACCAGCGACCTCATCACGGAAGTTTTATGACGTCTTAGTTCACTGAACCACCGCAGCTCCGCGACACCTCGCTACGCCTCGCTACGCCTCGCTACGCCTCGGTGACCGTGAGGCGTCTCACCACTGCTGGGCTCCAATCCGCTGGACGTGTCGGCGAACTTCACCGCCACCTTCAGCGGGGACACCACAAAATGTCATTTGGGTCGGTCATTTGGGAGAGAAGGAGATGTCATGGGTTGAACATTCAACTAACACATCATATGTCACTGTAGTATAGCAGTCAGTAAAGTATTATAACTAGTAGAATATGATATGTTTTGCTGTTTGATGCGGTTTGGCATTATTTGGTTTGGGTGTTCAGACAACTCTGAGTTGTGTACTCATGTTACTAGGGCTTTAGCTTTCGTTTTGGGAAGTTGGTGACCGAGCAACTACTCTTTATTGCATTTTATTGCCACCTGTCTCACATGCAAATCGTGACTTTTGTGAGTGAGAAACTCGATTTCCTCATGGTGAATCGCTATCCTGCTCTGCAGCAGGGTGGAAAGAAACGGGAAGATCACTCCTTTTTAGTGGTACAGCCGGCCTGATTGGCACATGGAGTCTTAGACTGTACCTATCGTGCCCAGATGGCTCAGCGGAAGAACATTTGCTCGAGGCAAGCCGTTTTTGGGTGCGTTTTCCGGCATCGCTTTTTGTAGAGTAGAAGCGCATCAACCACGATATCGACCTTTCTGGGACGACAAGAACCATGAAGAATCAAGAACAACAAGCAACACCCGAGATCATGAGACTACTACTGTACTTGACGGGTTTCTGTGGGTCCGCTCTTTTTCGCAGGTTCCCAGATGTTGTTGGGTGACATCCCTGAGGATTGACAATGAAAAAAAAAGTTAAAATTAACCCAGCAGAAGTCATACCATCTATGAACATCTCAGCCATCAAGGCTGCCATAAAGTACGGTTCTTCAGAGATGTTTGGTTCAGATGTCAGGGTCTAGGGATGTTTTAAGCTTTGATCCATCGAACGAATGCAGATGCTAGCTTTTGAGTGAAGGAATGGCGTTTGTTGATGCTGGCCGAAGATGAATCCACATTCAACAGTGGTCTGCAGGCGGTGTTTCAAGGTTATGACGTGCAAGGGTTGCTCGAAAGGATTTCGGAACTCCAGAAGCTGTGTTCTCTACGCGTCTGAACATGATCTGTTTTTTTGCATAGTCTTGCTTAATCGAGCATCCTGGTAGCTTCAAACCCAAGCATTGAAACATATCGTTGTTCACACTGATGTCCCCGCGAAGTTCCTTCTCCAGTGGACACCGATCCCGCACGCAGACGCACGGAGAGGTGCGGGACTTCGACAATGCGAGCTGTCCGGAACAGCTCTTGGATCCTCCCTGGAGCACTACCGGTGGCGCAGTCGTTACACCAGCAAGGGGACCCAGGAGATGGAACGACCATCAGGAATGGTCATTGATGAGACAATTCAATTCCAAAGGCGACAAGAGAGTTCCGAAACGAAGAGAAAAGGGTTGACATACACTCACCGGAGCTGGCCGAAAGGGGTTCCTTGGGTCCTTTGTTCTTCCAGCAGAACTCACCACAGTTATATACAGTGATTTCAGAGGTTCGACGGCACTGGCACCCGAAGATGTCTTAGACAAATGGGGCATGGAGATCCATAGTAGAGTTCGAGTCCGGGGTATGCCATTGAAGGTGTTGTGTGGACTTGGAAGGTGTTGTTCTTGTAGTTGGTTTCCTGATATATACACATGACAGTAGATCAATAGATCAAAAGTAGTTCGTCTAGACCCCATGTGAAAAGCTGTGTATGTTAAATTGCATCGGTTCGTCTCACTGGGCCTACTCGTCCGAGTTCCAACTCGAGGCCTTCGAAGACTCAGCATTGTTGTTGGGCTGCCTGCGGCTTGCAGATATTCTAACCAATGAAGGCGCAGAAGTGTGTTTGAGAGTTTTGCCATGTTTAAAGTTGTTTAAAGGGTTGGAATCTTCTTTCCTGTCAATTACCCTTCCCACGGCCACATCTCTCATGCCGTGTTGGTAGAAATTCATAGAACTTCAGTGACACCGTGGGTGACGGGATGAAGCAGGGCAGGTTGCAGCGATTGGGGGATGGTCAAAGATGTGTTGACCGAGGACCGATGATATAAGTTGTCATCATTCTTTGTACTCTGTTTTATGAAGAATTTCCTTCTATGGCTTTGATAGGAGTAGGATGTAAGTTTGACCCTTAATGGCATATGTTATCACCAAGAAATGCAAGGGTCAATGTCAAACAGGTGGCAAGCATATAAGCCCATGGCCCATGCTTCTGAAGCACTTGCCAGTTGACGCCATGGAGACACCCCACTTGAAGTGGAATTGATATCGATTTTCTTCTGACCGCGCGGCGCGCGCACGCATCTCCCAGCTCCGATTCTTCTGACGGCCTCGGAATCCGCAGAAAGTGGATGAACGTGGATGAAAGTGGCTTTGAGTCATGGCACCTCTCCCACCAGTCGTAATTGACCCGGTTGACCTTGACCTCATCGAGGAATTTGTTCCATCCGTGGGAGCCCAGGGCGGACACATGTGCCATGACCAGGGCAGAAGTTGAAAGCTGAAAGCTTTGGAAAGTTCCATATCAACGGATTGGTCGCTGAGCCAAGTGACCTGCAACCGCTGTGAAGTTTCTTGGTCTTCCCAAAGCGATGTTTCCCAAAGATGTTTGGTGTCCACATTCCCAGATAGCTACACAATATACAGTACACATCAAAAAAGGCATACATATACAGATGAATGAAACTTTGCTGCCCCCCGCAACAAAAAACACACATGACTCAACATGAAAAACACACATCAAAAGTGCATGTTTGCTTTTTACACAAAAACCACCGGGATGCTTTTCGAGTCTCCTGGTGAGTCCACCATGTCTTCGAACACGTGCTCTGCTCCGTCCACTTGGCATCGGAGGTCCGGCGATTCAAAGCGCTGTCACGCTGTTGCCGCAGCACTCGGCAGTGGATCTGCGCAGACGTGACGATCTTTGTGTATGCATGCTGATCAAAGCAGCATCCAGCAGGTGTCCATAGGAATGTTATGTGTTTTTTCCTGAGGAAAATGATACATTGTGATATATAACTCTAGTTACGGATTGTGTGAGATCTATGTGGAGCTAATTTAAAGTAATATTGGATTCGATGTTTTGTTTGTTATATAGTTGTGTCCTTTTTTGACATGGGTTTTGACTGGTTCCGCCTCTTGATATCCAATCACATGCACCGTGCCGGCCAAGGCTGCAGAGTGCCTCGCTGTCAGGCATCGGAGCAATTGAGGCCCCGCTTTTTATGTTTGAGCAACTGAAATGAGAATGAATCATAACTAAGTCTCTATAGCAAAATCACAGTGAAGTTTAGAAGTGTTATATAAGTTAAACTGGTTAATGAATTTGACCAAAGTCTCTGATGCAAACCCCATCGCAAGTTCCTGGTGCATTCCATTGCTGTCCATCCTACAAGGCTGCAGCTGTTGATGGCCAGTCCACCTTGCACCTGCCTTCTTGTAAACCTCAGGATAGTCACAGTGTATCAACCATAAAGATCAGTGACTGTATTTGATTGTGAAACCACCTCCAATGATCTTCCGTTTCTCTATGTGTCATCCAAGTACATCCAAGTGCCATTCAAGTCCTTGGTACCCTTGGTTTCTTCACCTGCCATTTTCACCCATTCCTACCGACCTCGACCTTGGGGGTCGGAACTCTCACCCTCCGTCGGGTTGGACGAGGTCATGGGCATCGAGTCCTTGAAGGCACGAGTATCGACGCACCACGCGGCGACCAGACGTCCGGTCCGGCCGTGACGGTCACCGAAGGGTCGCCGTTTTATTGAGGCCGAGTCCCCAATCAGTTTGGAGACGCCAGTTTGGGGCGCCAACGGTGTTTTTGAGGCTTCAATCATACTGTATGAGGCTCGTTGACGTGTTTGTGGTCCAAAGGTGGCACGTTTGAGATGACAGGTTCTTTGACCTTTGAAGTGAGACGATGTGAGACGATGTGAGACGCACCAGAAGATGGGAAAGCGAACGACCCGCTTGCTGCCAGTCGCCGCGAGATGCCGCGAGTCTCGCATCTCGTTGCGCAACAGTCGGATGAATGACTTGAGCAGTTCTGGAGAAGGAGAAGTTCTGGAGATTTGCTTCGGTCTAGACGGCGCGATTGAGCCGTCCTGTTTCACAGGCGCCTGCCATGGGATACTTGCCGGTCCGAGCCTGAGGAAGAAGTTGCCCAGAGGACCCTCCATAGGAGTCGGGACCCTGAACCAATTTTCCTCTTCTGGAAACCTCCCAAGCAGGAATCGAGCGATTAAGAACTGACCCTGTATAGTGGAATATGTGGACAGCAAGGATCATTCCAAAAATGGACACCAACCGGTATTTGGAAGGCTTGTGCATCCGTAGGAGTTTGGTGCGGCACCAAAAAAAAACGAATCAGTACGACCTGGTTACTTGACCTTGTGTGCCCCTTAGTATTTTTGATATTCCTGGAAGGGAGGTTTCGTCACAAACACTATAGCCAATTTGGATGGGTAGAAAAACAAAGATAAAGAAGAGCCAGACAGAGAGAGAGAGAGAGAACCACAGAGAATTCTGAGCCATGGTGAGTCCATCTTCCTCCGCCCTTCATAAATGACCGAGTTGTAGGAAAGATAGAGAAGAGGTGTGAGGTTCAACCATGATGAGCATGCAGCATCATGAGCAGACTCACTTTCATCAAAAGTGTTTATTCATGAACAGCATAATTATATATATGGTTGTAGTAGGAACACTTTGGAAAAAATCATGGATGGATGAATGATGAAAAGGTTCACTTTCATGAAATCCATCGACTTCTAGGCTGTGTACCGCTGTGTGCGTGGGGCTCCTTGTCGGATTCTGGTCGAGGCAGTGACTGAAGATTTGACATCGAGCGAGCGAGAAAAGCAAAGCATCCAACACGAACCTAGAGTATGTTTTCTGGTTTTGCTTAATGGTGATGTATTATTTTCCCGGTCAGGTTCATCCCCTTCGCCAGAGTTCAATAGGAATCCGAATGCTTCGCAAAACCCCGAGTGATTGACCGTTGGAGACCCTCAAGGCGGGAGCTGGGCCTATGCTTTTGTCTGGTCGAAGGGGAGCGATGACAGGGAGGTGTGGATTTGGTGATGAGAGGTGGATTTGGTGTTGGACATTCACTGTCAAAGGTGTTTGAGGTGAACTATATAAGTCGGGAGGTGAGTTAAGAACACATAGTGGAGCTAGGAGGTGTTTCGAACAGCCAAAGCGTCCACCCAGCATGCCAGGCGGCTTTGGGCTCAGGCCTTGTTCCCGCTGATGGTTCTATGCTCTTGACAGGTCAGTCACTGCAGTGAGTGCTCGCTGATCAGTTTTCTTCATGATGGTGTGAGAAGCAACCAAAAGAAATCAATCAAACAACATTTCATGTTGTTTGTTTTGTGTCACGCATCCTTTGTACGTTGCGATGCTTTCAAAGTCCCTGAAACCTGTGGGACCACTGGATGGCTGGGATGTGGTCGACGTGCACCGTCGCGTAGCACTGCAAGGCTCAAGCGTTTGCGGATCGCAGGAGATGGCAACGTGGGAGGGGCTTGGTGGTGCGTGGGGAGGAATTGTGGTGGAATTGTTAGGCACAAGCAACCTTGTAAGTCTGGCTACGGATGTCCTTGATACTGCAATATGTCCATCCTCGCCTACTGATTAAGTTGATTACTATAACATGCTACAACTTAGTAGTAGACTATAAGCACTGGTCAGGCTTGATGCAAACTTTGGATCCTACTGGCTCTTGTAGGTTCTTATCGAGGCTGACCAAGCGATGAAGCACAACTGGTTTCACATTCACTTCACATACACCTCAATCACATCTACAACATTCTACAACTACATCACCAAATCATGGTGGTAGTGGTAGGACCATCATTCATCCATCTATGCTCACCCTACCCGCTGAAACCGATCTCGCAGGCCACCTCACAACAGGCTCGGGCCCTTCAGGGTCCTCACCTGCAGTGCTGTGAGACGATTCCTTCCCGACCAACTCGGCGAAGGTCCCACATCCCACATGTGCAACATGGAAGTGGACTGAAAACCGTGGTACCCGCCCCCTGTTACCGCCCCCTGTTTGACGTCCCACGTCCCACATCACACGTCCCACGTGGAGTGAGTTCACCCTTCTGTTTGGTCTTTGCAAGCAATGGTCTTCCCTTCAGGGCCTCAGTTCTTCCACGTAACCAGGTGGGTCAGAGTGCAAGCGCAGTTCGTTGATGCCCGCCGATCTCATGAGCGACCAGCTCGCTCCGCCGGCTCCAGGATCTCCAACGTTTGACCACAGTGCTTCCCAGCAACCCGGTGCGGCGCTAGAAGCAACCGGCAGTAACCGGTGAGTGGAAGCTGAGCGGGGCCCAGGGCCTGAGTAAATATCCTGGAAGGTAGGGTTCAGGATGGTTTAAGACTTGCTGAGTCAGGTAGGACTTCAGGTGGGAACGACCTTTGAATTCTAATTCATTTACGCAATACATATATATATAATATATGATTTTAGTTATGATCGTATATTATTCTATATTGTATAATCATTATATATATATTATATTACAAACCCCATGAGTTCTATCTCTATTCTGCGGAAAGGCCGCCCCAAAAACCTCCAAACACACACCCCAAAAAAACCTTTTTGTGTGTGAATCGAAAAGAGAGACAGCTCAAGCGCCCCTCGCCCCGGTCGCGACCTGAGAGGTGGATGCGTCGAGCCCGGGCTCCACCTCCACACGCCTGGTGGACTTGGGGGTCCGGGGCGCAGAAGGGGGTGGGGACGCGGGTTCGGACGCGCGCCGGTGTCGGGGTCGCGAAACTCGCAGAATCGATGGGTCGCGGCGGTGGGGCTCGGAGGAGTTCGAGGTGGAAGGAAGGAAGGAAGGAAGGAAGGAAGGAAGCAAGGAAGGAAGGAAGGAAGGAAGGAAGCTGTTTGTTGTGTTATTTTTTCAACAGGTTGTGGAACCAAACTGATCAGAAATGTGGAACAGGAAAATGTGTGTGTGTTTCGAACTGCAGCAGGTCCGACCGTCCGACCTGGGATGATCAGAAAATATCAGAAATGGAAGACATGTGGATTGGAGGTTCCAAAGGCGGAAAGTACACGTGTTGGGTCTCTTTTTGTTGGGTCAGCTATGCAACTGATCCCTATTTTCTGCGCACCTTTCTTCCGTCCATGTGTTCTCTTCATGAAAGTCTAGTTACTAGTTGGTGCCCATGCATTCTTTGGTGCCCAAGCAATCCATGTAGAAGACCAGCTGTATCAACAATGTGGGAGAGGTCCGTAGGTCACGACCGCTGCTCACGACCGGTCTCTGGGATGGGATCGGTGCAGTCCATCACGGAACCACCAGATGCTTGTCCAGCTACTTTTATGCCGAGTTGTTCTATACATGTCGTGATGCCACTGTCCATTTTTTTCTTTGCATCGTCACATGTGATGCGAATTTTGAGCATCTGACTCCTGTAACTTGATCGTTGTGGAATGGTTTGTGGAATGTTATTGAGGTCCTTGTGCTTCTAGCCGCCAAGGCCCCTTTGCTGGAGGGTAGCTACACCTTGTGCTACTGTGCGGGTGGTGACTCGGGCAGGCAGGGTGGCGTATTCGGTGCAAGTCCGTTTCGTTGATTCGGGGATATATGCGCAATGCATTGTAGATTATGCTGCAGCTTAGTGGATTGTGAGCCGCTAAACTAAAACCATGTGCATGTATATAGATTCTATAGATGAAGCTAGAATTGTACAATTGACTGGTCTACACACCCCTCATCTACATAGATGATAAAACCTCTTGGTCCATCTTCCGGAGTAAACCCAGACAAACAGCCCCCGACCAAAAGAGCCCACCATCGAATTTGACTGGCACTGCTTGGGACTTCTCCCACAGCGGACCGCCAGTGGGACCTGCGGCTCATCGCTGGACTACTTCAGCCTCGCCGGGGGCACCCGTGTGGCAAGGGAGTGGCCGCGGCACAGGCACTTGAAATCTCATGATCTCCAATGGTTCAGAATCGGTTGTGGCAATCGATTTCACAAGATCTCCCATCAGTGGGCACATGGACCCCAAACCGTCCAACATTCTAGGCGGGCGCGGCGCCATGGCAGCAAAATGGAAGATGAACCTCTCTTTCAGGGGTGACGAACGGTTGTTCCAAAACTGTCCTGGCAGATGTAAAGGTTTGGAACCCGATGTGGGAACCATGGGAAAACTCGTTGATTTGTCCATGGGTAAATGGCAAAGGATCGAGACGGATCGAGTATCTCTGGACCTTTGCACTTGAGTGGTGACCGACAGATTCCATCATTGTTCTTTTCCAGAAATGCATGCCTTTCACAAAAGTCAGACTTGTCTCTCCAAGATGTTTTTTTGAGATGCCGCTCTTTCTTTCTTTCTTTCTCTCTCTCTCTCTCTCGACTTCATGGATGGACTCTTCAGGGTCTGAAAGCTGCGCACTGACTTTGGAAGTTCCTCACTGGGCCAAGGCGGCACAAGGTGTCGTACCTAAGACCTATGGTTTCAGGGGTCAATGTAAGGTAAATATTCCATATGTGGATTGTTTGGGATGGGGACTTGGAATTAGATGACCCCATCCCCCCAAAAATAACCCTGGCTCGGCCGTTCGTCTCCTGGCTATCCTGATTATATCCGGATGATCCTGCCCAACCATACCTCAGTTGATCTGTTTAATTATGATGTTTAACTAAATCGCTTTCTTGTGGGCCATGCCTTGCACATCCCGTGGATCTTCGATCTTGACGAACCGAGCGAGGTTTTTTGTTTCACCTGACACTGACCAATGATCACATCAAATCATATCTTCTGCTGAGGTGGGGACACTGTCAGTACGTGGCCCCAATCCATTGGAAGCCTTTTGCGCCGCTTGGCGACGCATGCGGCATGCGGAGGGCCATCGGGCCATGAGGAGCATCAATAGACGCGGGTGAACATGCTCTTGGTTGTGTGATTCCAAGCTGATGCAGAGGGCAAAGTTCCGGGTTGTCTGTGTCCATCCAGAGGACAAAATCCACACCTGTGAGCCTGTGCTGCTCAGGTGGTCTACAAGGATTGCAACGTGTCCCTTTGGGGTGTGGAACTCTCTGTTTGGGATTCACTCTTGGTGAAGGATGGCACAGGCGCGGCTCATGAGGGGGTTGGGATTGACGCAGGTTTTGCCTCATGGGTCTTTTCATGCTGTTTCAATTGAGAGTCTTACTTCATCGACTAAGTCAAGTGTCTGGCCTTCAAGCTCACCCCAAACATGTGTGCGTGTGTTGTTGTTGTTTTTCTTGTTTTCAGGGTGTTTTTCCATGACTGGAAATACAGTCGAGTACAGTGGAGTTTTCCCCTGCAGCTGTGCAGTTGGCACGATCAAACCATCCACCCTATCTGCGCAGCAGATGCACCCAGATGCACCAGGTAGCTGCTACGACTCCACAGCCACTGGCTTCGGAGTCTCTCGGACGAACTTGCCGGGGACGTGCTGCACCTGTGGGAAAAAGCTAAAGACTAAAGACCGAATCCATGTCCCACAACAGGTCCCCCCATAGTCAGTCATGATCAGTCAGTCATGTGTTTATTTTTATATTATTTTATTTTTTAAATGTATGTGTTCCAACAGGCCTCAGGTTGGAACGAGCAAATCTACTGTACCGTGTGAACAAATCCAACAAGTCCTTTTTTCTCTTGATCAGAAATCGGAACAAAGTCCTATCTCTTCTTTGCTTCACGGCAAAGCATGTCCACCTCAGTCCACCAAAATCTAGATTTCCAAGGATGAAAATCATTGGCACCAAGTCAGATGGGTTCCTTGCTTGGTTGATCGTGGTTTCTCCAGGTGCCAAGCTTCTAAAGCACCAACGCTCCTAGGCCTCAAGCTACTTTGCTGTCAACCCCGCTGGGCTCCCTACAGAGGACGGGCAAACCTTTGGGAGCCATGCGGGTGGTTGCGAAAAAAGGAGAGGCGAGTTGTGACAATTTGTTTCTAATAGCTTTTTGTTACTACTAGTAAGGCACCTGTTACTACTAGCGTGGCACTTGTTCCTAGGTGGTGAGAGTTCGAAGTTCTTCATGGTTCTTCCGACCAGCGACAACATGTTGTTCACGACGTAGCAACACGACTAGCAACCAGTCAGCGGATTGCCTACAGTGGCATCCAGTCCAAAGGAGGAAATTATGTTTCTGGAGTCAAACAAATAATAAGCCAAATTCCACAGCACTTAGTCAATCCATCTCCGTCACTACTGCCGCGGACATAGCAGTAGAACTGTGAGTCGTTACTGGGAGCATAGGCTTCACCAGTGACTCAACGCGGCTTTCAACACCTTAAGCCTTTAGGAAAAAACTTTACTAAAGGATACTATAGGTTGATGAAGGTTGATGATTGATGTTTGCTGTTGTTGATGAAGGTCGTTGTTTTGCTGCAGTTGATTTCACCACCTTTTGTCCTTCTTCAGATTTTTCTAGTGGCCAACAAAAGCAGAGGGTGATCTTCTCGGCCCCTGTGACTTAGGGCGAAAAACATCTCCCCATGCCATCTGGGAAATAATGGGATCAAGAGTTACTTGCACCATGCTGCATCCATATTCCAAGCTACAAACCCAGGATCCAGGATATCCATCTTGAATCAACACGGAAAAAAAGACAAAACCCACACACCATTCACACAAAACTTCACAACTAATTGCTGTTCTCCTGGTGCATTTCTCCACATACAATCAACATGCCCTCCCATCGGCACTCTCCCCCGCCAGGACTCCTTGGCACGTTGGACCTTCCAACTGGGCGTCGCCTCGCAGACCGGCACGTGCCCGACCGGCACGTGCACGTGCAGCGGGTTTTCTCCGGGAGCGTTTGATAGACCGGATCCGGTAGATGTGTGTAAGAAGGACCAGAAGGGATTTTCAAGGAAGGCTGCTGGGGGAAGTGGTAGATCTTTCTTCCTTGTCTTCATGTGTTTTGATTTGTTGCTTTGGTCGAAAGTGAATACATGTATGTGCATACATACCGATATTTTTTTGTGCACACTCCCAGCAACATGTCCTTCCTATTCAGACAAGAAAAGAAGAATGAATGGTTTGAACATGCCAGCAGGTACATTCGATGCTTCTTAGAGCCCATATTAGGGACTTAAAGACCTCTCACTCTCAGCATCCAAAAGCACATTTGGTCGATCCCAGTCGCTGGTGTGTTGAGTCAGGAACACCACCCAACCCGGTGTCCGTGGACCGAGCTGTGAACCCGTCAGGTACCAGATTTGCTATTGCGCCAGCTACAGTGCTGGCTCCACTGTGCCCCTCGGCTGGTGGAGAATCCACCCAGTGCTGGCTGCGGAAGAAGAAACGTCCAACAGCTACTAGACTGTAAGGTTCCTTCCTGGTGATGCAACAAGAATGATGCACATCAACCAGGATGTAGTCCAGGATGTATATAGCTACTAGATGCTACTAGCGAATCCATGTGAACCTGTAAATCCTCAAGGTTCACGCCAAGCACGGTGTTCACCAGTTTTCTCGGGAACATCGATCCCATCGCCCCTGAGGCCCTGTCAATCGCCTTCAGAGTTCACCATGCAGGCGCCGAATCACGGTGACCTGGGCGATTCCGTGGGTCACAGCCGCTGCCTTCAGAGTCCACCCTTCAGAGGTCGTTTGGATGGGGGTCCTTAGTGGGATCCACTACTAAACCACCTGTCACTTGGGGTCCCACTTGTACCATCGAACCTCTGAAATCATTTGAAATCACTGTTATATATGGAAGTTGATCGTCAAGGGGTGTGTAAGCGGGTGCAAGGGGTCTTATGTATGGGGTCTTATGTATGGCAATTCCATCATTAAAAACTATCGATCAACTAACCACCATATATATATATATAGTATATATACAGCTAAGCTTTTTGGCTCTCCATGTGGCTCTCCATTTGGGGAAGTATCTATGACTTGAAATATATCTTCCCACACCCCCTTTTTGGTCGCTGGACCTCCTTCAAGTTGAATGTTCGGTCTCCTGCAGCATTTTTCACCACCACAAGATTCCTTGACTGGATCAAGACCATAAAATGCAATCGTTTTGGTGTCTTTGGATTTTGTGGTCTACACTGGCATCCGAGTGTTCATAGAATTTCATAGATGTTCATACGTAGGCAGTGCGCTAGGCAGTGCGCGGGGTTTATGAGGGTGTTTTGGCGATCCCTTCGACCCATAGAGAGGGGAGGTCCGAGCTGCAAATCCTTTCAGGTTTTGACCAGGGGGGTCACACCCAGATCACTATCCGTCTGACTTTCAAGGCGTATAGACATCCAACATCATCCAACTATTAGCGGAAGACACGGCAGAGTTGGCCAATCTCCCACTCAGCTGTAATGACTCTAATGTTTGTGTCAGTGTGCGTGACAGTGCTGGAGTTCTTCCAAGAGTAGGGCGGGCTGCATGTTTCATGTCGACAGAACATGACAGAACCGGATGCTCCAAACAAGAAGGATCACATGTGGCACTTACAGACGACCAGTAGCACGAAGCTACTAGAAGCAAGGGCATCGCTACTAGTAGCTCCTGGCATTACTAGTAACAAGAAGCTACTAGTAGCTATTTGCCCACTTCCTATGCATCTGCAGGCCGGCTTCCTCTATGTACGTGGAGTCCAGCAGACCAACTCGGCCACCTTCAGCTGTGTGTCCTGCCTTCGTGAGGTCGAACCGGAGCTCTCGAGCTCCGGCAAAGGAGCAAGAGTAATATCAAATGTATAACCACCGGGCAAGTGCTATCTAGGTGGATCAACAAAGTGGGACAAAGTAACATTCAGAAAAGCTTTCGGAGCTCTTCCGACCTTTCGTCTTCAGTTCTCGCAGATGTCGTCTCCTCGTCTCCTTGTCTCCGACTCTCAGGTGAGATCCTCGAAAGGCGATGCCGATGCGGCATGCGACCTGCCGGTCAGCGCCTTAAACATAAGGGGAGTGTGTTGTTTAGAATAGGAGAATCCTCGGTCCCCAGGGTGCTTTTGATGGGTTTCAGATGGTTTTCATATTTTTAGTCAGTCTTAGTTGGTTTGTCATCTTGCACAGCAGTTGAACTCCGAAGGATACACACCCCTCTCATGAGTGGTCTGTGCCACTGTTTGAAACATCGCCAGTTGATGGACAAGGAACCCAACAAAACATTGAGTGGCATTCCTTCAAGTCAGCTGATGGGGTTCCACAGGTACATATTATGTCGAAGACCTGTGAAGGGACACCTTGAACATGAGAGATTTTGGCCTCATGGGACTCATGGGGGACGTGGTTCTGATGAGAGGATTTTTGTTTCAGGCCTTCTCCTCATAGCCACATCCGTCAGAACCATTAACCTTGGGCACCATGAAGTCGTAAAGTCGTACACTCATGTGTACATCTTGCGAGCTTCTTCGTTTAACAACGAACCCATGTCTTCATGCCACAGGTGGAGGGTACGGCGCTAATGCCTGTGCAGGAGAAATTCTGGTGTGAAAGGGCAGGCTGTGGGGTGTGTTTCTGGGGGCTGGGCCTTCCACTGCGGTTTTAGTGCTATCATGGCAGTGGAGAAAAACACGCAGATGAACATTGTACAGGGATACAGGGGTTACCTTTTTGATACCTTTCTTTCACGTTTGCTGGACATATACCGTGATTGATCTTTTACATATTACTGTACACAGAGGATCATGGTAACCCCACACGGAATGTGGAGCAAGATACGAGCTCGCACCGCCATCTTCACCTCGGGCAACAAGAGCAGGGACATTGAGGTCTTTGTCAGTCTTTGTCTCCTTCAATCTCCTTTAGCCATGTCCCCATGTGTGTGTGTGTGTGTTTGTCTTTTTGCACGGCCAGATGGGACATATGGACCTCCTTTTAAAATGGTTTCTTCCATTCTTTCAACCCTTGCTGGACTGGGTTCTTCCACGACCTGTTTTCTACTCACTGCGTATCTTGAGGACAAGATGCTGGTAGTGCCCGCGAGCAGCAATGCATCCTGTGGCGAGGCGGTCCTGGGGTCGAGCGGTCGACGCACGGTCAGATGAGGACGCCCATGGCTACCCGAGCGGGCTGTTCAAGTATGGCGGGCTTTTGGTAGGGTTTACGCAGAGTGTTGGATAGAAATTTGGGGTGTGGGGTAGTGAAACTGAGGATGACATGTTTGGTGGAAATAGACGATGCCATAACGAACTTGCGATGTTGCCAGAATTTCACAAGACTCACAAGTTTGTAGGGGACCAGTGGTTCGGAAACCTCCAGATCTGGCCATACACCCTCAGGTGACCCTTGGGTGGTTCCTGCAACAGTCTGGACGCATTTTTCGGGAAACATCGTTTGCAGAGAAGCCTAGACTTCCAGGGCGCTTCCTGTTCATTTCAGTATTGCGGTTCTTGAACCATTCGTTTGTAATATTATGTGTTCCACGAAGATCGCAACACGGCCAGCAAAACACATCACTCTAGGAAACTATGACTATGACATGTTACTTTGCATGGGTAAACATGCGCACCTGATTGCTGCTCTTGCAAACCAATCCATGTCTGTTTTTGCCTCGGAGACCTCAATGCCTCGGATGTCTATATATCCTCTTGACACGGAGTCACTCGAGGCCTCCGGGTTGCAAAAGCCGTGTCCCACGGAACATCCGGTGCCCACGTTTCGCTCATTTCGGTGCCGACCGGGCCGGACCGGACTGGATTTCTTTCGCTCATTTGGGCTCTGGTTCATGTCTTGCCACGCGAGTCAGACAGGTGCAGCCAGAAGTGAGCTTTGGCGTGAGCCGCGGCCCTCGGAGTCGGTCGAAGTGAGCTGTGAGCCGTGAGCCGAGGGCAGGCTGGGCAGACAAGTTCTTTTTGTTTGTTCGGAGAAAACAGAGACTGACGGACATGTTTGGAGGCCCCTTGGCTGAAGAGCTCAATGCTGCCACCATTGGTTTGGCATGGCTGAAGATAGCAATGCTACTTGTAGTTGCAGAATCTGAGCTAAGAAACGCCAGAGATATCCAGAGATGCAGCATCCCCGCAACCTAAGGAACTACTGAACAAGAGACACAGAGTTGCCACTAATGCAACACAAGACTCTTAGCAGCCAGCACGGGGGTGTCCTTTATTGGGATCTGAGAGTCAACCATTTCGAGGCCCCAATCCAGTTGCTTTGAGCATTGCTGACAACGTGAATGCCACTTGGACGGTTAAGCCGATGGGTTGCTGACAAGAACGCGCCAACCCGCTCATCGCAACAGGCGGTTCATTTTCAATGCATCGGTATCGTTCTTTGATTGCATTTGAAGCAACGGCTATGATGCTGCTGATACAAGTGCAAATGAACCACATTACCAACACACTGTAAAAGCCTTGGAATCCTCGTTTACAATGCAGAGTGCAGACATGAGTATTACAGTTTATGTCACTACGAACCTCCAGAACGACTGCCTGCGATTCGATGAACAACATATCATACCTTGCATATAAACAGCACCTTCCTGTCGGGGTCTTGAATGGAATACCCAGGCCCTCCTTGTGGATCTCCATTCCCTTCGGAAGGTCCAGGTATGTTGATGTTTCCATAAGATACTTCACAGACTCACAGAACTGTGGTGAGGTGTGCTTGGTCCAGGTACGTGGGTATGTGGCATATCAATGCCTCCTGAGGAGTGCCTTTTGTGTTTTAACCTTTACCTCACGGGCGTCCAATCGTCTGTCTCAGGCGACCCCTTGGGGCTTGATGTCCTCGTACCACTTGGCGCGGTGGGTCATTACCAGGCATGACTGGGCATGACTAGGCAGAGAGGATTCAATACAGTTGAACTGGATGAAATTGATTACTAATTTGTTTAAATATAGATTCATGATGATTCATGTATTGGAATCTAGGATTTTGAGATTTGGGACGATGCTGAAGAGCGGTGCCCTGGCAATTCGCTTCCCACTATAGAGGGAACCATGGTAGCCCTGCACGATGTGTTGCCTCTTCTGAGTTAAAGCCCAGACACTCTGTGTTTGGAACATATATCCATTGACCCAATTGCCAATTGACCCCTGTTCAGTCCCATTTCCCACGCAGCTCCGGTCGTGTCAGTCTGGTTCCCGGGTTTGCGCCACCTTGCCACAAAACCCACGCAGGCTGGAGATCGTGGGAAGCTATCAGATCTGCTACTGCGCCGATTCTGCGGAGCCTCGGAGGGCTGAGGGCTTCGTCGGCTTCGGCTCGTTCAGGAGGTTGGGAGAACTGGAGAAGGCAGGAAGGACATGACATGAGTCAATGGAGGAACCAGAATGTCAATGGACATCAATGGACATGTCATTGGTTGTTTGTTTGTTTTTCTTTTTCAAGAACGAAACCAGTCAATGGCACTCCTGCACTTCACAGGCAGGATTCTGAAGATCTGGTTTGATGAAGAATGCGGCAACTTACCTGCGCTGACCCTTCAACAGGTCATTTGAAGGAAGACAGAGACTCATCACTGTCAACCTTGCAACGATGAGTAACACATTTCTGTTGTAATCTCTATTTCCCACCCATGCATGCTCTCAGTCCATCTATGGCACATTGATGCATTTCTGTCGCACACTTCACCTCCCAGTCCCCAACCAGAGGACCTTCGTTTCGGCCCCCGGGCCCCACCCGGGCACGCACGCACACCCCCACCGAAGTACGCCGAGAAAGCTTCCGAGCGAATGACCGGCGGAGTGCGCGCTCCGAGGATGGACTGCAAGATGGTCGAGGGGCGTGTTTCACCTCGGTCGCCGGCTTCTACCACGAGGTGTCGACGACGGAGACGGAACTGGGAACGTGCGGACGACACCGGGGGGAGGACGTTCTTTGCCGCGGTCGCGCGGGAAGAGGACGAGCTCAGTGGTCGAGCTTGGGAAGGGTCGCGAGACTAGGTTGGGAGGTGGACAGAAGGTCGAGTGAATCGGGCTGGTCCGGTGGACGGATGTGCAAAAGCAAAGAGGTGAACATGCAGGCAGAATCGGGAAGTGATTTGTTCTTACGTTACATAAGGTTTCTGTAGCCATGACTGTAGGTTGCATGTGGTGCTTCAATATGTCCACTGCAAGTGCAGTGCTTGATTTGAAAGGTCAAGGATATTGACATATTGACTGTTCACCATGGCCCAACACTGGTTGACTTTTGACATGGATGGGATTCATATGAATCCATCTACACTCCCTGAAGTCATTGTGGAAGTGGGTTCAATCGCCCCTGGGATAAGCATGTTTTGAATACCCAGCTGCTGTGCTTTTCCTCCACTCTTCCACTTCCATGTGAGTGACTCGGAATTCGGATTCCATTCGGCGGAGGGTGCTACTAGTCTCAGGCTTCAGAAGCTTTTGGATGGGACTCATGGGACTTGTGGAGTGGTGAACTATGGTGAACTGCTGAAACCTCTTTCACCTGAGGGCATGGGTTTGGGAATCCGAGGGAATTCTGGTTGGGGCACAGTTTGTAAGAGGAGGGAGCCGATAAAGCTCTTCGCACAAAAAAGGTAGCAGGTCATGAGGTCATGTTCATCACAACGAAGAACTGGCAGTCCGTCGACAGATGGCCACCACTATAGTGGGTTGAGAGGTTTGATGGCGCAAAAAATGACCTCCAGTTGGGCCAGTTGTGTGGTTTATGTGGACTGTGCCATCTACTCTGAAACCACTGTACCTATTTTCCAGAAGGGTACTGTATTGGCTTCGGGATATCAGTTAGATAGACAGAAGCTTCTTGAAGGCAGGTCTTTGGGTGCCAGCAGCCAGCATGAGTGATACGGAAAGAAGAGCGGGATTTGCTTCCATTCCATCGCAGCTGAGTCAGGGTCTGTACTCAATGTCTTGCTTTCACCTGCCAGGTCGGCACATTGGAGGTGAGAGGCGCAGACAGCTCCCAGATGCTACTCAGCAGGATGGATACTCCAAGAGCTGGGAGGGTAGGTGGATTCAGGTGGCTTCCAAAAGAATGATCCGATATGCCTTCCTCCTTCGAAAAGAAATCAACACCATATAAATCATTATGGTTTGGTGGGAATAACACCTCTACTGTACTCTTTGTCAAGTCGCTTTTTGGAAGGGGCCACCGGGCCAACATCAGCCTTGTCCTGTTTGTGGTGGATTGAGGTTATTTCTAAATCTACAGTAGCTGATGCTTCTGTTCAGGTACACAACAAAGCCTTGTGGTTGTTCGAGACATCCTAAATGAATGGGATGCACCATTGGGAATGCCCAGTCGGAAATATCAAAAAAAGTGGTATATATGTCCGGTGGTTTTCAGTTGGTGTAACATCTCGTCTACATTTAGATGGTTCAGTCTGTGGACATGCCGGGAGGTCTTAGAAAAACATTTATGGTCAAGCTGAGATATGGCCTAAAACCTGGTAGGCACTACCTCTCGATAGGTTGAAATCTCCACCAAACCATGGCCTCAACCCACGAACTCAGCTTGGAGAAAAACCGGTGTCGGTGTTTTAGAGAAGGGAGGCGACTGGAAGATGCACACTGATCTTCCGGTTTAGAGAATCTTCTAGGCACCAGAGAAAAGGCCCCGCGTTGGTCGCCTGGAAGGGCTGGCGACCCCAACAGCCGAATTCGAAGTGAATGGACCCTGACCCAGAGAAATCCATGAAGGGCGCCCTGTTTTTGGTCCTGAAGTCTTCTCGAGTTCACTCACAGTTTGTGTGCTCTCAGGTTTCTGTGCGTGCCCGGAGAAGTGTGCGAATTGCTTGTGTCTGGTGTGAACCTGTCCACCTCAGACAAGGTGCATCTCAGCGCTTTGATCGAGGTTTGGGGCGCGTTCCCCGAAGGTTCCCACAGGTTTTGCATGTAAACATTGTTTCATTTTTGCAGGAAAAGATTGCCCCTCTGGGGAAGATTTCTCCCGGCTTGGCTAGCAAATCCAAGGTTCTATCATCGATGTTCTATGCGTCAAAAAATGGATGATTTGTGATTGGATGGTTCCTTTGTTCTGTAAATTGCAGAGGACCCCACGACAAGCCGCGTCCGACAAGTGCAGTGGAGCGGTACTGCGATGCATCGCAGTCTGACCCCTCACGGAACAAGCAGATCCTGCACCCCTTGCCCACCACTGTACTACGAGAAGCATCGAGAAACGACTATACAGTGAAGTGCTCAACCATACTACGAGGGTCATGTCTTGCTTGCCGTCATTTGACTAGATGTGACTGATTCATTACTTTCATCCGTCCAACATGCGTGATGTTTCATATCATGCTTTTGTCATGTACTGTTCCTCCTGATCGAGCCTAGGCATGCGACCACCTGCCGTTGTAGACAATAGATGTCCACCGGTTCATTTGTGCTCTGGACCTTTTAAGTACCCTCCACTAGCGGAGAGGAAACATTAGTCTGTGCTAGTCCTAAGTCCTCCCCAAGGAGTGGAGTCTTGGACCTTGGACTCAACAAGTAGGTTTGCCAGAGTCGACACTCCATGTCTCTTTGACTGGACTATCCCAGTCTGGCTTGGCGACCCCGGGTCACCTATCGGGTCGCCTCACCTGCCTTGAAAAGTCCTAACCAGCAACTTACTTGATCATCCAATGTGGCACCAGCTTGAGATCCTTTAATTTATGATCCTTTACTTACGAAGTGGCTGGTTCTCCAGGTGAGCCTCTTCTGGGACGGGGGAACCCCCCACTCCCACTCCCACTCGCTAGGTGCGCCTTGTAGGACCTGAGGACCGAGCCGAAACCTCCGCGCGAGCTCGGGCCATCCGTGCACAGCACTCTAGATGATGCTTTATATGGAACAGGCCACATGGAAAGATATGTCACCCGGCTAGTTAAGAAGGAGTCCGACTGAAATAGCCAGTGCATGTCCATCCAGACCAATTGATTGACATGTCCTTACAACCCATCCAAGCACTTCTGACCACTCGAACTGCTCATCCCCAACTCCATCCAACTCGCCCACGCCGACTCCACACCTCTCCCAGACCACTGCGATTTTTCGCCAACGAAGACAGAGCGGTGCTCGAGACCAGGACAGCTGTGCTCGAGTGAAGTCCTCCATCAATGCCACGACCGTAGACTTCAACGCTGCGGTGGAAGCCAATGCCACCCATGCCAGGCGTATCTGCACATGGGCGAATTTGAACGAAAGGATCTGGCGACCTCAGTCAGGGAGCCGAGTTGGCTTGCGCCAGCTGACATGCAAGTAGCGTACAAGAGAATAGACCTTGAAAGGAAGAAGAAGCAAAGAAAAGGAAGGAAGACGATGAAGAAGGAGTAGAAAAAAAGAAACAGAAGAAGACTAAGATGATGACGATGACGACGACGACGAAGATGATGATGACGATGGATGTTGAAGAAAGACATATTATCAATATATATATATATACCAATATATATATATATGTATATATATATATTAGATAGAGAATAAGATGTTGCCTGCCACATGTTGCTGCAGTCTTTAAATCTTTAATTTGAGTTTGTAGGGCTTGACTCGTAGTGAAATCATGTATTCAGTACTCAAGGACCTAGAGGCGCCTGGTATTTGCTGATCTAACCTAGTTCTATCGGATCTTAGTTGGAAACAAGAGTAACCTCCAAGAAAGGATACTCATGAAAGGTGGGCCAATCATGGCCCCCATCTCATGAAACAAAGCAAGGAGCCAAGGAGCCATATCTTTTTCTGCATTGGATCCTTCAGCCTTAGATCATGCCAGGTTCAACTTGGGTACGATCTTGTCTCTGGACAATCCCTCAGCCATGCGCTTGTGCTATTGTGCCAACTTCAATCAGGATGGACAGGCACGATGCGTCTGACAGTGTATGGGGGCCGGTCATGATGCGGTCGGCTGTGTTGCTGCGGCGAAGCTCGAAACGAACAGCACAATCAGATTCTGCAGTTGTGCCTGGGTTTCTGCAGGAGCCACTTGTTCTCCTGAAAAGATGCGCGTGATTGTAGTTTGTTTTTCTTTATGTAGTATCCTTAAAGGATGCTGAACTGGTTGATTTGCTGATGGCCTGAAGCGGCTAAATGGCAGATGAATTCATGGTCATGGTATCTTAAACTTAGGTTTGAGGGCCCTCTCATGAGCACGTTTCATAGAAGAATGAAACTCTCAGATAGGAAGTACGTACCATGGAGGATTCAGCACCTGAACAGTGCAAGTCCCTCTTTTCGTTTTGTTTCTTTAGCAATCACATGTCCATTGTGTATGCGGCAAACGGATCGGACTTACACGCAACTAGGCAACTAGTGCAATCAGTCAAATCCCTTTCAACAAACATTGCCCACTTGGCAAAGCGAAACTCAAGTGTCTAATCGACTGTAAAGGAGACTCATCTTCCAAGTTCATATCAAGGAACCCCATTTTCCAATGTTCACACAATAATTAAGCCCCCCGGCGTCCTCCCACGTCCGCCATCAGGGCGAGACCTGCTCGGATGCCAATGACTTTACCCACTCGGCCGGGGTGGTGAACATGGCCATTTGCTGGGGGCCTTGGGTGCGACAATTAATTCGGTGCGAATCTTCGGAATGACGAGGGAGTCTTTTTGGCCCCTTCACTATAGAATACCGAACGTGCGAGAGAACAGGATAGAACAGGACCCTTATCCATCCTCATCATTCCTTATTTGAGTAATCAAGCACCGGTGAGTGGATAAGGATTACTCAATAAGGAATGATTACTCACCAAATCCTCATCATTCCTTATTTTAGTCAATTTTTTGTCCAGCGGGATTTGGTGAGTGGACAGCCATTCCAGCCATTCCACTCGGATCAGGGAGACTGGAATGCTGATCAGCATCTGGGCGAGCTTTGGTGGAGTTTTTCAGGTCCTCAGCCTCCAAGCAGCCCTGTCTTTGTGGTGCCTGTGCAGGTCGTGAGACGTGAGTTGTGTGGGATGGGAGGATGTCAGGAGCCAAGGATCATGTATGCATATGATTAATCACATATGTCGGGATTGTTAGTTTGGCCGTTAATTACATCAATCAAAAGAATCTGTCCTTGATGTGGAGCTCCTGCGTGAGTCTTTTCAAAAACCCTTTTGCACCGAACTGGTGCATATACTCAATTTCCTGTTGAGGTTTCTCGTCTTTTTGAGTGGATTGCAGATCTGCTTGGATCTGCTGGACACCTTCCATTGTCCCCGCTCATCACTGCCTGGGAGATGGGGGCTTGGCATGGTTGACCATTTCTTCACTCACTGTGTCGGAAAGTGTCTCAGTCCATCATAGGCCATATGAGAATGGGTCAATCGTAGGTTGATGTGAGAACACCTTTTTGGGCGAAGACAACATCCACCTCACCGAGTGGATCTGAAAGACTTGGCTGAAGAGGAATTCCAATCCCCCATCAGGGAATATCTGGCCGATCTTGGCCCATTCCACGCTTCGCCAATCGCCAGAGCTGGCTCGAGCGCCTCGCCAGGATGTCTATGGAGGCATTGGCGAGGGCATGTTCCGGCTGTATTCCTTGCCAGCCGGAGTGCTGAGCAATGCTGAGCTGAGTCGGAAGGCAACTGGATTGTCACAGGCCTTGTCAAGGCACTTATAGAGTCTTATAGCACGCGGTCTGTTGCAAAGGATTCAGCTCAAGGTAATATATGTTGTTCTAGCAAGGTTGGTAGACCAAGAATGGGTGCAGTGCTGGATCTACATTGAAGAGAACTCTTGCTAGTACACAATATCTCATCCATGGTCATCCAACATGAACTACTTTCTTGGGGGGTGACCGCTGGGCTGTTCTGCTTGTCCATGACTTGTTTTGATGCCGGCTAAGGCTTGGGTTTGCATTGATACACCATCCAGGAGAATGAGTGGAGTGAGTGGAGTGAGCGAAGCTGCAGCGCTGATCGTGACTCTCTTCCTTGGACACCTCCTGAACAGCTGTGGTACAGTGCTATATTTGGAAGTTCAATTCAAGGAGATCCTCAACGGTTTTGTTAGTACTGTATCACTTGGATATGAATCGCGTCACGTGCATTTTGTCTATCACAGGTTTAATCGATTACATGGTCACCTCCATGATGATGTTGCCACCTCCACGGTGATGTGCACAGTTGCGCATTTTTTTGCTTAGCCCGTTGAACGACTTGAAAGACATCCCTGGCATATCAAGAGTTGGTTGCAATTTTTCAACTCAAAGCAATTTGTTGGGAGTTGTAATTCCCTCTCCCTGGTTTATTCAGCCGTCCCTCCAATCAAGAACTCAGACTAGACTCGATCCGACCAGAGTCACCAGTTCTTTGACAGCAAGGCTTTCGCGGAGGTACCTCACACGTTGCCGCTACATCCCTTCTTCTTCACACTGCAGGTGTACGGGTGGAAACGGGCGTTCTTGAGCTCAGACGGGTCTGACCGAACACGCAGGACACCTGCAGATTACCAGCGCTATCAGTCGATCCTCCCCTTGGGCACCGGCGGTGGGGGCGCCCGAGACGAGCCAAACACTCGGTTTGGAAGGGCCACTGTGAAGGTGGCCAGATGGGGGTTGTGCTTTCAGGGCTGATATGGCCATAGTTAGGGGCTCTCCTATAGGATGTTAATTTCTTTGAGGCAACCGTTTCGCCATGGACTTGCAGTGTCCATCCAGTGTCCTGCCAAAGAATTTAGACATTGAGACACGTGAAGTTCGATCATGTCACTGACTCAACATCTTCACATGAGATCAGAGGCTCAAGACAACATCTTGACTCATCACTGGGCCTCTTCACTGGGCCTTTTGACTCAACATGTTTGACTTCTGAGGCTCAGAAGGAAAGGGCGGCGATGTGGGCGGACACGACTTGGCAACTTGGACGGAATTTCGATTTACCAAAACGCGCCCAGCATGACCCGTTGAAGCACCCAAGATTATGCGGATCAACGGGTCATGCTGAGAACCCCAGTGGGAAAACCCCATGATACACGGGTCAGGTTGAAGGTGACAGACGAGAACCCCAGTGAATGACACGCTTTTCTGGTGTAAAAGAAAAGGCGCTGCGTGCGTGGCGAGGTCTTCTCCAGTGGCAGGGCTCAGTGCGTTCCGGGAATCGATGTCAATGTGCCCAGGCGGCGTGGTTGCGTGGGTGGCGCGGGTTGCGACGCGTGTTTGATGCGTTTTATGGGATGTTTGGATGCCAGGCACGCGGTGCAAAGGAGTTCAGCACGCACGCATGGATTTTCTGAATTCAGGTCCTTTAACAGAAGTTTAGTCAACCAAACATAATTATGGAGCTCGTATAGCCTGGTGGTGTAACAAGACTAAGAAGCAAAGTCATTTGGTCATCCTTGGTTGTTTTTCAGCTCTCAGAGCGAAGCCACTGAAGACGGTCATCCAACAAAAATACCATTTGGTCGCCTGCGACCAGCAGAAACCACGGGACTGCGGGACTGATTAGTGGAGTTTGGGATCAGACATGATCAGAATATATACCATCAACATCCATAGAAAGTACTTGAACAAATACTTGAAAATAACATGACCATGGATTGATCATGACTTCCTCATGCCCTGCCCAACCGAGAAGCTTCTCTCACATGGTCAGGCTGCCGAACATGAACGACTCGGCCACAGAGGTCTCAGTGGTGGGAGGCAGTCCCCCCGGCCGGGGCGCGTTCTCCGGTGACGCCAAAAAGCGAGACATGGCGAAACTGCGGGCTTCGGGAAGCTGACTGGCAAACACGGGTGTTTGCTGAAAAGAAGTATCAAGAGATGCTCAAGAAGTTGTTCTACCACTTGAATGTGTCCCTAATGTGAGCATGTTCTGGCAGATGTTGAGGTCATGCCGACCAGCCAAATTGAACTCCCAATCAATCGATTTTGTTGAAGCCGTTTGAAGAAACCATTGTGAGTGCGTCCAGCGACCATCGCTCCCACTCTATTTTGTAGATTGGGTCTCAGCTATATAGTCCCAACAATGTGCTTTCTGCTGGGATGCCTATAGGTTTGCATCCCATGTGCTGCCTCCCAACGTTTTCCCATCTCAAAGTCACAGGTTCCGGCGCCCGAACTGATGGCTTGCTGATTGAGTATGGCTTCAGATTGTCCGGTGACCCACTACTGCAGACTCACTTGGGAGAGTTCAGAGGTTCATGATGTGAGAAGCCTTAACAAAAGACGATTCATGGAGCTATACAAGCAAACACATGTCCTTCTAAACCAAACCAATGTAGTCAACAGCATTTGCACATGACATGATCATATAATGTCATATAAGATATATGTGCATCATGTATATTGTTTGTTTTGTGCACTTTGAAGACAATTTACACTTGGATGCTGTACAATCTACGTTCACACCTTTCACCTGAATGTGGCTTAACACCTAACACCTAACACCTGGGAAACCCGGACTCCCAAAATAGGTAAGTGTTTGAAGTTGCGCCTGTAAGTGGAAAAGTTGAATGTAGATCAAACCTATACTCTCAAACTTTATCCTCTCACAATACGGCACTAGGAACCCACAGGTCTTGGCAGACTTGTCATTTGCAAGTGGATTTGTCCCAACCCATTCCGTTGTTTTTGTTGTTGTCTTATAGATATTCTATGGAACAGTTCACACACCAAGTTCTGAACAAATTGAAGTCCCAAAGGTTCCACATACTGTGATACTAGTTTTTCACCCTAAACAATCCTAAACGCAGACACTGTTCCTATCACTTCCTTCTATTTGTAGTACTTGATCGTTCTCCCTGTGACCGTGTCCTTAGGCAAGTGGCCTCCAGCCTCTCAGACGAGCGAGGGAACCTGCCAGACGCGCCCAGATCGCCTACTCGCGCTCGAGCCTACTCGGGCGCAGCACCACTCACTGAAGATCGACAAAGCCGATTCGGACATGCCAACAGAGTTAGAAACGTGTTTAACATTGTTCGACAATCTTCAATTATCATAGTAGTAATTGATTCTACAATATTCGACATATTGTTCTTTTTGTATTTTCTGTGGTTGCGGTTCTTAACGCCATGAGAAACCAGGAAAGTCAACAAGAACCATTGCCAGTTTTGCTGATTTCGTCGATTTGCAAAAGGGTTTGCTTTGTTAAGTTCGGTAAGCAACATGTTTGCTTTTTTGTGTTTGCTTGGTGAGAAACATATACTGTACCATTCCCAGACTTGTCTCCAAATGGATTCAGGTTTGCCAGACACTGCACTGAATAGGTCTCCAGCCCAGCCCAGGTAGACATCGATGAATCAAATCCAAAGCGCCAAGTGATGGGACGTCCCACAGCACCCCAATGGGCTGAATGCCTAGGCCCTGCATTGGCCCTGCATTGACTGTCATTCAGCCCATTGGGTGCTGAAGGGATCACCTACTAGGGCCAATGCAGATCACCTCATAACAAGTGTCATTCAGCTTCACTTGTTGAGGTGTTGAGAGCTCACCCACTAGGGACCTGCACCTCGATCCTGAACCTACACCTTGATCCCAGAAAGTAGTCTCAAGAACCTCTTGGGTTGGAGGCCATCGCTCGTGGGTTGGAGGCCATCGATATTAGGTTGGAGGCCATCGCTATCAGGTTGGAGGCCATTACAATTAAGCTTCCCATTGCTATTAGGTAGTGGGAGATTCGGCTCTTGAGCACCTCAACCAGTTGCATTTCCGCCCGACCTTGATTCCTGAGGCAGAGCTGTAGCACGTGGGAGGTCCGGGCGGTCTGGAGCTGCGCTGATCGCCGATGTGCCAGGAAGTATTGGTGCTAAAGATGCTACTTAGTGGCTAAAGCATTAGCAACATGATCCATTCATAATTGCCGTAGATTCTCAGTTTTAAAAGCTGTGAGAGGAATTTGGGACTTGTGATCCAAAAGAAAGCTGTTTGTTTACACACCTACTCGCTAACATAGAGTGGAAAGCCCTTCCAAGGACGTCAGAGTGTATCTAGTTTGGTCATGCACATTCTGATTCCACTCACCAGCTAAAGCATGATCCATCTCTTTGATCCAGACGGTTGATTCGCCGAGCGATCCGGACCGATCAGACCTGCCTTCCACTCCGCTCGAGCTCCAGGTGGAGATGCGCTCTTTTGGCTGCGGCTGGGATGCGGCGCTGACGTGCTGACCTCGGCCGAGCCGGCTCGGTGCAGACGGTCACGGTGAGTCACGGTGTGGTGTGGCGGTGTGGCTGGAGGCGGGGATAATGCTTGTAGATTGTTATTTTTGTTAAAACCTAACTGGACAGCAAATCCAAGCAGGGTGTGTACGAAAATAGGTAGATTCCCGAAAAGACCGGAAGAAGAAACAAGAATGAACATAGACCACAACCACCCACAACCCATTGTTCAAGGATTAAAGCGAGAGTTACTTTTATAAAAATGACCTCAACCTACCCTGGAAAGGTTTTATTGTTCAAGCATGTACTACTGTATATAATATGTATTGCATACACATGCATACACTCCTTTTGGCATCATTCTCACTCTCAATTCGAGTCAACAGCTTCATGATAGAATTGTCAGTGCATCAAACACATTGCAATTCCCTGTCATTCTTGTTTTTGGATGTTCCGACATGATCCAACCTTCTATCTACTGATCTACTTCAGGATGATTTTAGCCTTGTAGTACCAGACTACATGTCCGGGAGAAGGACTCGTGGACGATTCCTTTGACAAGTTTGCTGTATCAGTGTGATGTTTCCAATTTACATTATCAATTTACACCGTGTCATTACTTGCCTATTGAATTGGGGTCACAACCACCACCCTGCAGCAGGTACTGTAAGCAGAAGGGTCATGGTATGTGACGATCTGTGATGAGATGCACGTTTTTGTGCTTTTGACCAGAACCATAAGTTAGTGAGGTTCGGGTTCTTGCTGCACTTGTTCATCGGTTTCATCATCCTGTGGACCTGCTTCAGCAACCAGTGCCTTGGCGATTGGAGAATTTGCACACCAAGAAGCGATGGGTGCTCTCGCGGCCTTGTCGAATGCTTTGGTTCCACATTTCAGGCATGCGATAAAGAAGGATGTTGATGTGAAAGGGTATTAGAAGATAGTATTGGGATGGTTTTTGGATTCAAATATTCATATTGACAACTTTCACCGAGTGTTTGATGAGGCTTCTTCTTCAGCTTCCACCGAGTTCAAGAGTAACCTTTGCGAGAACGACTTCCAACGACCCTTCGTTGGGACCCAAACGTGTTGGGACCCGTGTGTTCACCGGGGCGATCACCTCATGTTCCGCTCGTCGAAACCACCGGTCCGACGGTGCGTTCGACGGGCGGTTCCGCGACTGGAGGCTCTACCATTGCAGCGCCTTCTGTTCCTGGACGAAGAAGGTCCACACATGGAGACGTGGACGTGGACTGATTCATCTCCAGTCACGCATACGGAGCTTGTGAGCCAGGGGATGTGGATGGGTTTTCAATGTTCCAAGTCTTGGCGCAAATCAAGAGGCATCTGAGCACATCGACAGGGCTGAACACAAAACGGGTGTGATTGAAGACAGTAGACCTCAGAAACCATTGCTAAAGGGCAACTAGAACCTAAAACCCTTTGGTCAGACTCTTAATTTTTGCGTTTTGCTTGAGTGCTCGTGCATATGAGAATTATGAGAGAGCCTCCAACCCCTTACGCAGAGTGGGTTCGGCATTGACGTTGAAAGGTGGACCCCATCGTGGACAGCCAGAACCCATTGCCACTGGAGGACACGTTGACCGTTCACGCAGCGCAATCGACGGGTCGAGTGGACGGAAAACAGCGATGGCTGGAGGACTCTGCGATGTGAAAAGGATTCAAGAGACAAGGACTCTGCCGCTCGAGAGCAGGAGTCAAGTTACCTCTCATCCTTACAAAAGACCAGTGCCTTGTACTAGGACCCATGTGGGAGACAGCAGATGTTTTCGAGAAGGTGTGTGTGATCCTCACTAGAGACACGAATAGATGAGTTGGGCCATTGAGTTCATGGGGGAAGGGCACAAATAGATGGGTTTTGTATGGTTTTGTTGGCTCGGTCCTGAGAAGTCGGACAATGGTGTGGGGCCAAAACAACTAGATGCATAGACTGTTTGATGAATAGAACTTCTCCCCATATTTGGAGAGTAACATCTCTCCATATGGGGGGGGTGATTGATCGGCCATGGGACGGCTGGTGGGACGGCTGGGACGAGCCCCGGCGATGTATCGCTGACGACGTCGACGCATGATGCACGCAGGACACCCCCCTGCGACGTGCCGCTGATGCTGGGACCGTGGGGAGCCTCAATGGCCGTGTGCCGAGGGCCTTGCGATGGCCCAAGGGTACTCACAGGCTTCAGAAGGATGTATATAATGATGCAGAAAAAGGCAGTGTTGTCAGTAGATGACCCATGTGTTCACAGTCTAGCTATTTTGATAAGATACATTTTGCATCATTTTGCTGTACTCAGTCACCTACCTATCTACCTACCTAACGTCCCCTTTTCCCCTCAGGTTCAACCGGTCCCTACCACCAAGACCGGAGGGACCTTCACCGTGAAGGCATGCGTCGGCATCCGGGACTCTTGGTTTGGGCGACGGAGGCTGCTTCCCCTTTTGATGTACGTGGCTTCTGCAAAATCATGCAACATCTAAGATTCATGAATAGACAGTGGACATCTATCTATATATATAATTCATGATTTTCTTTGGAAGTCATTTGACGGTGCAGGCAACATTGAATACTTGGTCAGTGTCTTGCATCACTGCAACCTTTTTAACGCTTATGTTTTTGAGCAGGGCTGCCTAAAAGTATTTGTTCGATCAGAAGACCATCAATGGGTGGAGTGAGAGGGCAGCCATGAAGGTGTTGGACGGATCAAGCATTAGCCTTCTTCGGCCAAAGAATCAAGAAGAGGATTGGAAGAAGTGTTTGAACGGTTGTTGCCCCTGCAAGCTCTTAGATTTCTTACCAGCCGATCGAGTATGTCATGTCCTCTTCATTGTCCTCTTCACCCGTCACCTTGGCCCGTCACCTTGCGGCGAATACGACTCAAGTGACTGCGGGGGTCCTGCCAACACTATATAGTTGTTCAGAATCCCTGCTGTGACAAATGTTGACTCAAGTGCTTGCCATCATTAGTTGATATTAGTTGTTCAGAATCCTTGAATTAATCTGAATTCTCGGATTGGTATGGCATACTGGTATAGAAGCCCCGCACTCTGTTTAGCCAATCAATGTGTTGATTGAGCCTCAGGAAATCAATGGAAATCAGCCTTGAGCCCGTTTCAACTCATCCATGTACACAATCACATTATGCACAGAATCCACAACCCATATGTTTGGGATTTCTGAATCTCTTGGCCAGGCTTTTGCTGCCGGAGGTGCTTCTGTAGATGAGCCGGACCAAGTGACGCGCGAGGTCGTGTGTTCGCGCAGGTGCTTCTGGTGGGTGTTGGATTACGCTATTAGGCAAGGATGTTCTTTGTTTTTTGTAGACAAAATTGCTTAGGACTCAATCTGTCACTTCTACTGGCAGAATTTCCTTCGAAGAGGATTTACCAAACCATCGTTTTGCTGGACTTTTAACCAATCTTGGGGAGGCCGCCCATCATTAGTAAGTACCCTTCCAGTCTCATTGGGTTATCACCCCACCAAGTATCGGTCCAAAAGATACTACTATACTGCTTTACTTGGGGCCCTTCATTAACACAGTTAAATGGAATCCTTTGTGTGCGTGTACCCCACCTTCCAGTCAAACAACTCCTCAAGCGACTGGGTCTGCGTGGGGCGCTGGCCGCGCTGGCAGCCTTTGGTTCTATGAGAAGACCACGCGCAGAAGATGTAGTTGAAGCTACTGAGCTGAGACCAATGCAGAGTATCAATGGTCTGTTGCGCTACGTTGGAAGTATGATTATATAAGTATGATCCCTACCGCACAATGCCAGCACAGGTGTCCAGTGAGGATAAACCCACAACGAGCGCCGAGCGCTGTATTTTTGGACTTTGAGTATCTTTGAGTGGCATCAATCCATCTTCAGAATCAGTCAGCCACCAAAAACAAGCACTGGAATTCACCGAAAGACACACGTTTCTTTACAAACTGCATCAAGAACTCCGCAAAATGCCTTTCTAGAAAAAACGAGCCCGTGCCACCGTGTCAGAGGGTGTCAGAGGCTGCCGTTCGGGGGTTGGGGGGTGGATGGGTCCAAAGAGTTCCAAGGTTTCCAAGACTCCAGGCTTGCTGAAAACTGGTGACTCCCAGATGTCTAACATGTGGAGTCTTTATTGCTATTTAACTGGCTAGAGGATAGAAGATGGATAGAAGATGGAACATGTCAAGGAAAAGCACTTGGAACATGTAATCTCGCAAGGTTAACAGTTCAATATTCTGTGGTCCTGTGCATTTTTTGAGCTATATGTGTTTCTGGATGTCCCAGCAATTGTTCGGTGCAGGTCATGTCGTGGCACGGGGCCTCAGCAAACACGAATGATTTCTGCACCCTTCTGGACATGGTGCATACCGTGGTTGTTTTGTGTCGCAGAAGAAATCGTCAATTTAACTGTAATTAGGGGCCATTTCGACAGAATTCTCCAAATGCATGCTGTATCACTTGACGACGTCCTGCAGTCGAGCACTGTGAATCGTGGAGTATGCGCCATCTCAAGCCGTGTGGGATTTTTCCTGTGAAGAGTTTTTGATCGATCCCACAACCACCTTGGAAAGGAACACCGTGGCCGAAACCCACACAAGTGGGTTGGAATACTAGTTTGGGGAGGCATGGTGAGGCCTTTGATTTTTGATCACCAGCCACTTGGACTATGGGATCACGTGCGGTCGTGAGCCGGAGGCTTTGCTGTGCAAGTGAGGCGCGCGCAGAGTGAGTCAGTTGGTGGGAGTGAGCCCGGGATGGATGCTGCTTGGCAGCTCCAGGCTATGCCGGCAAGGGTCGGTAAAAGAGTACCACTATGTTTGAGAAAGGAATTTACTAGCCATCATCATCCTTTGCTACTGATCATGGGATATAACAAATTTAATGGATACTTCCATCCAGCTAATCTAGTTGTAGTAGTTCGCATTGTGAACGTGTCTTGACTAACTACTTCTCGGGACCAGTCCAAGTTTGACCACCAGAATTTATGTATACAGTTTTCGAGAGTCCATTTGACACAGAGGCTTGTTTGCCATCCATTGTTTGCAAAGGAACAGAAATGAACAGAACCTGGGAAATTCACATCCATTTTCGTTTCGAGCCGATTCCAGATCGTCATCGCTTCAATCCATGTTCGGACTCAACAGGCAGAGGTCCCTCGTCCCGTCGCACCTCTTCGGTCCCCAGGAGGGCTTCTGCCAAGCAGGGCCTGAAGGCGGACGTGACCCGTCGGGACGAAGGGACGGTTTCGGGTCACGTCACGCAACAGCTGGTGACCCCAGACACGACTAATGGGGACTGCCGTAGGACTGCCGATCAGTTGGGGTGGTTTTGGGGGTCAATGATTGATATATGGGGCATACATGGAGTATTTGGGTACTGCAATATCCTCTGTTGACCTGAAATGGTAGCTACATGGATATCCCATGGCTCGCTATCCTCTACAACATACCAGACCATTCGACAACAAACACACAACAACAACAACAACAACAACAACAACAACAACAACAACAACAAC